CAAAGTAGCCTATCCACTGTGAAATTAGATGTTTGCTTATAATTAATTAGTTACAAAATTTATTGATATGATTCCAGAAAAAAAGTATAGGTGTAGGAATTGTTGTAAATTACTCAAGCACTTTGTCCATGGCAGGGAATTGTTATAATGTCTTATTTGGTAAATGAGAATATTAACTCTTTAACCGCTTTAAACTTCTTAAATGAACTTGTTCTTTTTTCCAATTTTCTGGAATTCAGTCCAATATCAATATTTGGGATATGAAGATAGTCAGTCAGTATTAAGAGCCAATACTGGTGGCAAAGCTGTTAAGGGTTAAGGTGGAGGAACAGACTGTAGAATTTCTTTAGTTCAGGTTAAAGTAGTATGCTCAGGTATTGATTGGTATGAGCTAGAACCCTTGCCCTGAAAAATTCAATTATAACAATCATATTTTAAATTTTATGAGCTATACTTTATTGTGCCCCCGCTATAGGGGAGGGGGCATTTAGATTTACCCTTGTCTGTCCGTCTGTCCATCCTTCCGTCCATCCGTTCTCTTTTTGTCTCTTTTTGTGTCGCACATAGCTCAAAAGTAATTGACCTAGAGTCATGAAACCTTACAAGAATGTTGATCAGCATGTGAAGTTGACCTAGAGACATAAGATTGACAAATTGGTGGAGTGTTGGGGCACCCGTGTCCTATGGACACATTTCTAGTTGATTCAAAGGATTTAGATATCAAAACTATTAGTTGAAAGAGTGTCTCTTAAATCTGCATGATCATGGTTTTGCACTGTCTTTTCATATGAACAGCCCCTAATAAGTCAAATTCGTATAAATTAGGCAAGTAATTATTGACTCTTTAGCATATTTCAAGGGTACAATTATGACCAAACTGTTTTGACAAGTTCAATCAATATAACAGAATTGATCTTAATTATGATACTGGAAAAGGGGAAATACAATTTTCATGGTGAAATTCTGTTAAGTGATTGATTTATGTTTTGCTGGGAGAATTCAGGCAAGTTTTTACCATAAACTGTGATTATTGGATCCCGGAAATTTCGTTGGTCGGGAATCTTTCTTTTTTTAAAAATAAAATACTGATAGATTAAGTTTTAATGCCAAAAAAATATTGTCATGTAAAAAGTGATTAAGTTTTCATAATTATTGTAAAATTATTGACAGTTTCAAAGAGAATTGTCATGTTTTTTTTGCGTGGATGAATGAAAAAAAAAATGAAGTCTCTTTTATTAGGAAATTTTCAAAGTAAAAATTGCGCTGTGAATTTTCTTAAACTTGCCTGGTTAAAGAGAATCATAATTGAAACAAATTGTCATGAAGAAAAAAAAAATTCAAAATCACCATGAAATTTCAGGATAAGAGTTCTGTAAAAACTGACTCTTCAGAACAAATACTATATAATAAGTAAGACAAAGTTCAAGGACAATGTCCTCAAATTCTGACTGTCCCTTCCAAATAGAATTATGATTGATGGAAACATAACCATGATAGTTATGGGGATAATTTCCGATCATTGGCACAGCTATGATATATTTTTGGTGAAGTATTGGACAAGTTGAAGATTTCCTATAGCATGTTAGGTCTAAGCTTATTCTGTTTTGCTTATGGGATACAAAAATGGATATATCTGTACTGTAGGGATGTGTTTTTGTATTTCTGTGGAGTTCAAATTATATTGGGATTTTCGTTTTAGTCTATTTGGCAGGATAATATATAAACAAGGAAGTTTGTTGTCTGTGAAGATCATACAAGTGTTGTATGTTTCCATGTGTCTGGTAAAGAGAATAACTCTTAAATATGCAACAATCAATATTTTTGTGTTTTGATTTTAGGTTTCTTCTCTTATCATAAATGATGTACTTAATTCTGAGAAGTTTATCACCAGTGCTCTTGATAGGCATTGTTTTAAGATATGATTATGATTATTGATAATTACCATACCTTGATGCTACACAGTGTATGATATCATATTTGGTGATGACTATTTACCAGTGACCAACAATTACAGGGTACTTATATTTCACTAGGTAGTCATGAAAAGGTTTACAAAATTTTCTTTGCTGATAATAATTGTAGTTATTGGCAGGTATGCTTATTTTGATGATGATGCCATGTTGATGTCAGGCGTGCATGTTTTGCTTTCAATTGTCTTCAGTAGCAACATGCAATGTTCACTATGATGATAGGTTTAGGTAGTTGTTATTTGGTAGATGTTTCTGTGCGCTTAATTCTCCTGTTAAATTCGATGTTCAATGTTTATATTGGTTGACGCCAGTCAATCGCTGGTGCACAATGTTTGTATTTAAATTGTTTAAAACTTAGACATCAGATAACACTGGCAAGTAATTTGGAGATATATTAATGTATGTTTTAAGTAGTTCATTGTGATAATTAGGCAGACTTGTTAAGCTTGTTGACATTCGGTTGTGTCTTGGGCTGTTTTCTAAGATTTGCCATGGTGATCTTTGTTCTTTTTTTTCAATTGCCCCTCATGGAATGATGTGATATAACATTCATGTGAGGAAGTATAGATCCAGCTTACTCAATCTTTGCAATGCTTGCTAAAGCCTGAATTGCTCAGTTAGCAGAACCATTAAAAGGTATTCTTAGGGTGCCAGGTCCGATGTAGAGCAAGCTTTACATTTAAAGTTGCACTCATTTTCATGTGACTTAGACTAAAAAGTGAAAAATTTGAATATCAGTATTTCTTGGTTTCTTAGAATAGGTTTAATCAGCTTTCATTAAATTTTATTTCACATTATTGCAGTTTCAGGCTTTTAAGATTCATTGGTATATAGACATTTTGTGTTTATTTAGGAACCAAAATCTGACAAAAATAATATAGCAGCAGACATTATTTATATGTGAATTATCCATTAAATCTGATATGCATCTGCTATTTAACTGTGATAATTAGATGTTAATTTATTGCTAAGTGGTCTTCAAGTGAGAGGTAGTTTCAAAATGGAATTGTAATTATAGACTGACAGCATAACTTATTTGATGATAATTGTTATAATGCCAATAGAAAATTGCTTCTTGCCAGCAAATTTGACAATTGATTGACTGGTCTTGTCTGTAAGTGGACAAATATAGGAAATTTCTATAATACTTCATGTTTGTTTAATCATGATGTTTATTTAATTTATATACACAACTACTGTCAATTTATGAAGTTATTTCATAATAATGTCAAATTTAGGAAGTTTGCTGTTTATAAATTCACTTTGCTATGACTTAAGTTTCCCTGCAATTGACTAGTTTCCCTGAGTGCAATGACCTTTTAGTTTCCCTGCAATTGACTTTAGTTTCCGTGCAATTGACCTTTTAGGTTTCCTGCAATTGACTTTAGCAATGACAGTCTTTGTTGTAGGTTTAACTTGCTTCCTGCTTATGGTTTTTGTATTTTTAACTTTGTTTAAATTAGAAAAAATTTAATGTAGGTTTAAGATGGTTTATAAATAAAAAGACTGTCTTTAAAATTTCTTTGGTAAAAAAAAATGGGTGATGAAAATAAATATTGTGAGATTTAATATGTGAAAGAAATTTAAAAGTTGCTTCTGAAGATTTAAGTTTTAAACTGTGACCCAATTATAAGATAACATTTAGTGTTTTATGATGTATTTTCTTTAATTCTTGAAATTCTTAAACAAGTTTAGATCGGAACTGTCTATATATAATATGAATCTGTCTAAAAATTGTGTCAGTATAGATTACTCTTAAAAACATTTGCCATTTAATCATAAAAAAAAAAAAGAATGACTGTCCTAAAACGGAGTTGTATTTTCCTTTAGATGTATGTAAGCGCTATAAAAAAGCAGTCATTGGCGTTAATTAGGGGGCTTTTGTCAAAGCAAGAGGCATACATTTAGTGGTTTTAGGTTCAGCGTAAGTTCTGTAAAAGCTCTCTAGAGGCAGAATAATGTCTGATTAATCAATGCAGTCATTGAATGAATTCCAATAAAGCATTATTCAATCAAGCAGTGTTTTATGTAGAGACTTTGTAACTGTTACTCCAATTGTTCCGTTTGAGTGCTGCAGCGTATGAAACTGTTACTATAGTAGATGTACGAAATTATTACAAAATGTTACGAATATTACGCCAGTTTTGATCGCATGTGGAAAAACAAAAACTTTGAATAGAAGAATATTATGAAAGTTTTGAGGGCACGATTGTGGAAAAATTAATTTTCTGTTTTGAAAGCTCAGGATATGAAGTTTGTTTCTTTATAATAGTTTTTTTGGGGGCCAGGATTTATTGAATACGGAGATTTTATATGGTGTCAGTAATATTGAGTTTGAGCAAGTAGGTTTCTTTTTACATCATACAGCCATTTTGCTTTTTTAAAAGCATATCTCAAATGGATAGATGTAACATTTTATAAGCCTTATTTTGTTATACATATTATTGGCATGAAAGTGGATTTTTAACATCACTATAAACATTAGCTGTATTTTGCTACATATTGACTTAACATAAGTAATACATGTATATAAATTATGCTGATATCATTAAGTTAATTAACAGTGATAATTTATAAATATAACAGGCAGCTATACCGTACTGTATGTATGTATACTGTTTGACAAGAATTTGTTATCTCTTTAAAATAATGCCATATCTGGATTATATAGGACTTTTGTATAACCCTTCCATTGCCTTGATGGACTGAATAGGTTTTATTTTTGGCATTCTCCATTAATCAAAATGAAAAATTGGTCTGTGAGTCAGGTGAGAACACATGGATATGCTGGCAAATTTATATCTTATGGTAGTGGCAATTTGGCCGGTTTTTTGGTTGTAGAATATTTCGACTGGTTCTATATAAATAAAAAATTTCAGTTGTCTGTTTTATTCCAAGATAAATAATTCAATTGTGGTAGTAATTGTTAGGGAACAAAAACTCTAGTGCAATGTCCAACTTTATAAAGCCAGGTCACAGTGCAGTTGGATGTGCAGGCTGGTCTTCCTTCATTATAAATTGGTTACAAATGCAAGTCATTATAGACTGGTGGTAAATGCAAGTCATTTATCATAGAGTTAATTTTTTCAGGTTATTCTTTTAACACTTGTAACATTTCCTTATAAATTATTCAAGACAGCAGCTAAAATGGTTAGTAAACTCAGTGAGGTAGTGTATCAAAGTTTACCATATTTTCAACACAAATGAGTCTCAATTTCTGACAAACAAGTCTCTATCTAACAAATGTCTTAAAAGCAGGTATCAAATATTTATAAATTCTCAGAATCAAATTGATGTTAAAGCTAGATAGAATGAGTAACAGATGTCAATAAAGTTAGGGGGCATGGGTAAACTAGTTAGTCATCTAAGGGGGAAAAAACACGACACAGTTATATAAGCTGCTCTGCAAGTAAGGGGAATTTTTAATGGGCAAATTTTGTTTGTTTTTAAAAGGGTATAGTATGGTATTGCATTTTGTATATATTGACTTGTCTGTAGGGTAATGTCTATACATTAAGTATCGCAGGGAAATAAGATAATTATTGGTATGTTCCAGCAAACATAATGGAAATTATCAGAATTTTCTCTATATAAGTACAAGGATGTGAGCGAGCCTTTAAGGCAGTTGTAGAAAAATAGCTGATTGGAAAGGATTATCTCTTAATGAAGTGATTGTCCGCTGAGTAATGAAATACACTGTGCTTGGTGAATGGTATATGCAATTCTATTACAATGGATGGAGAACCAAAGGCCACTAAAAAACCACTGTCATCAGCCTCGGCAATTATGAATAGACATCATAAAAAGAGGAAGAAGTGGTATAAAACATTTCTGCATGGAGATGGAAAAAAATCTGACAGAGAGACAATTGAAAGAGAAGAATTAAACAAAGGCGTCAGCAGGTCGCTGGAAAATGTAGGTCAAATGAACATGTCGTTGCTTGGATTTCAAGGTCGTGCATCTTCAGCATCGTACCTGGCAAAAGATGATGACTCAGTGTCTATTTCAAGTAGCGAGAGTGATACTGCAGAGATATTAGGTTATCCTTTACAACGGAGACAATTGCAAAGAGCCGAGAGATACTCGTCCTCTGACAACGAAATGACTTCAGAAAGTGATTTTACTGACAGTTGTATCAATGAAAGTGATAGTTATCAAAAGCAAACACTTGGCAAGACTGAAAGCCTAAATGAAAAGACAAATACACCAGAATCTGGATTTTCAAACATACTGAGTTATCTGCCCCTGGGTTTAGCTCCGGCAGCTGCCAGGGGCTCTTCTGATTCCCTTCTCTCTCAGTCAGAGGAAAAGAAAACTTTGGTTCATTTGATTGAAATAGCTGCTGATTCTGACCAGGTAAGTTGATATATATCTGCAATTTTTTGTTCCTTAGTATGATACCCCAATTCTTCTAAAATAATGCAAGCTTTAAAGTGATGAACGCTTCTTGTTTCAGTTGTCAGTAATTCAAATATTGAGAGGTTATGAATGTGACTAAAAAAGTGTAGGAGCGCACCAGTATATACCGGACACGGCGCTTGAATGATCAAATTTTAATGCTTGAATCTTGCCTTTTCAACAGCTGAAATGCTTTTTCAGGCGTTTAATTCATCTCTTCACACCGATTTATATACGATCATAAATAAAGTAAGAATCAGCAAAAAAAGTGATACATTTATTTTTCTTCCTTTTAATCATAATTTCTGTAAACGTCAAGCACTGTAGAGGGTTAAATCCAGAAGTTATAGTGATGAGGACATGTTTAAAGATCCTGTATGTTTTTTGATTGATATTGTTACTGTGTGTATACCACACTTGCAAAAAATTATATATATATATAATTATGCAAATAAAACAATATTCAAACATCGAAGAATATGTAAAATGTGTACTGCAAATATTTGTGCACATTTTATTTAATCAATCAAATTATATGCATTCATTTCTTATTGGAAAATTTGATTAGAATTTATAGAAAAGAAATTTCTAATTACCTCCCTTTATTTACATGAAATGTTAAATTCGGTAATATTTCTATAAATAATGCTTGTTGGGAGTTACAATATTGACAAATATTTGAGCATCATATTTATGAAATAAAACCATGAAAAAATTGTGTTACAGGATCTTTAAGACATCAAAATAACAAAGAATGAAAGCATACAGTTTTTCTTTAAAGATTTTTTTAAGCAAAAGTTAGCATGCAAATATTCCGAGTGAAAAAAAAAAAAGCAAACAGAGATTGTACTTTTTTAGACTAGAACACGAGTTAATGTGATCTAGATTTCGAGATCTAGTTTTCATTGGATATAAAAAAGCCATTCAATCTGGTATGAATAAAACATTTGAATTTATGGAAGCCAGTCATTGATTTTAAAGCAGAATTTTAAGGATAGGAAACTTGATTGATTGATAAAATCTAAAAATACATGATTTGTTTTCCGCTGGAATCCAAAAATATACTTTTTTCCGCTGGAATCCTTATACCTTTTACTAGATAAGTTATCATGATTGAATTGCTGACTTTAAGGCGTTGTTTATAAAATTTAGTGGTTTATAAAATATAAGTGACATAAAAGACTTCAGTCATATTGTAAAACTCCAGTCTTTATGTATGCAATGTATGAGATATGTTGCAATTAAAATGACAAACAGGTAATTTTTGTAAAAGAGTGTTTTCTGATTAAGGAAATAGTCAAACCACATAATACAAATGCTAACAGAAGATGAAATAAAGGTTTTGTTGACTATTCTGTACAATATGAAAAACATATCACTGGGTTCATATCCTAGTGTAAAACCATATTAGATGTCAGATACTCCACTGTCTCATCAAGTATAAATTTCAGCTGGGTACAGTGGTCCAAATATTGTATATTTCTGTATTGTAAATACTTTTGTCAATTACGTAACAAACTTGTTTGATTTTTGAAACTGGATATTTCATATCAGTCCGATATGATTTATACCACTGACCAATATGATTTATACCACTCACCATAAAACTGTATTTTTTTGACTACTTTTGCCTTTCTTCTATTTTTACATGTCTATTTAAACAAAGCAAATTCTCAGATATCATAAACATATTCTGAATATTAATACATATTGACCTTTTGACCATTCCTAAAATATCACTTCAAATTCATATTTGAAATTATATTTTTGGAATTGTCATGAACATAGTGAATATTATAAATAATAAATGTGCTTCAATGAGTTTATGACAGTACCTGAAAAGGAAATAAAAGAAATATATTTGAAGCAAGAAATGAGTTTCTAAATTTACATCAAAATAAACACCACAGGTGATTAAATCTCCTTGTCTATTTTAGGAAAAAATGATTATTTTGTCAGTTCTAAATAAATAATTTTTCAAGGAAACTGAATGTATATTTATAGTGTCCGAGTGTTTGTTATTGTTTGAAGTGCCACAAAAGGGGAAAAAATGACCTGAAATTAGAAAGTTTTTTTAAAGTTGAATAAGAATTGCTAAATAGTGATTTATTCTGTGATTTAAGTTGGCTTTATTTTAAATGGATTTATCGATAATAGTTAAGGCTAGTTATGTATAATTGGACATTGAATTTGGAATTGATTTGAGTGTATACATAATAATAAATGCTGCGATGGAAAAGTGAAATTAACACAAAATTAAAGTTCAGAATAATTAAAATGGATATAAATTTTGTGTTAAAATGATCAAACAGATTTTGCCATTAAAGAAAGATGAATAACTGTCATCATATCTTTATATTATTAATTTAATGGAATAGATGCCTCTTTAATTATCATAAAGTATAGATACACCTAGATAAAATGACTAATTTTAGCTTGTTTGGAAGAAAAAGGCCAGCTTTAATGATTATGCTGCTGGGTTGTTGTTGTTGACTTCAATGTAGCTTAATAAAATATAGATATATTAATTAAATGCCAATTTATTTTTTCGTGATGTTAAAGTTATCATAGTTTATCGATACTTTTAAGTACTGGGAAGTATAATGTTAAAAGTTATCCTGATGATAAAATAGCATTAGATGGCAGGAACGGAAACTAATAAGATCAATAGTAATTGAGAGATTTAATCATCAGTCACACATACATAGTTTAATGATGACAATAATTTACTATTATCTAAGAGAGGGAGAGAATATAGTTCCAGGAATGGAATAATGATTACATAGATACACCCACTAGATAAGATAGAGAATCTAGGGTTTACCATAGATTTATGATGGTACATTGTGACACGACCTGTATTTTATACTGCTATAATATAATACTTGTGATTACCATAGATTTGCCTGAAATTTCATTCCTTTAGTTGATAATCAATGTGACAATATGCCTACTGACAAGTGTAAATGGTGATTGTACTGGAAAAAGTCATAATAATTTTACATTCTGTCATAATTATTGTTTTTCAATTCCTTACTTTGTGACACATAAATAATCAATAACTTATGTGTCACCCACCGAAATTCGTATGTGACCGGCACTGGAATTTGAATTAATATTGTTTATAAATCATAGGTAACATTCACTTAAAGTTACATTTAATAAATTTCATAAAAACAGAAGTAGCGACATTTCATTAATAAATTGGGTTTCATATCGACTCAAAATCTTATTTTCGTGTCCAGACAACAAAAATGAGTTTTATAAGCATACAAATGTGCAACCTCATTGTGGCTAATTCGGAAGTTCAATTTCTGTTTGCATGAGAAACTCCGCCTTCAGATCATCCGTACATCAATTTTAAATCAACAAACATGACTATAAGAAGCAATCCTAAATTAACGGTATATTTCCGCATTGTAACGGATATTTTCATACAAATTTAATCTTTTTTATGAGACGATTACTTTTTCTGAACCCAATGCCTAGTGCACCATGAAGCCTAAACGGTTAAAGTGTGTTTGCACAAGAAAATCTTATATTAGTTGTGCTGCGGATAGCAACTGTAACACCGTGACGTAGCGCATACACAAGCTGGTTATAGTCTTCATTTGCATGTAAAAATTCGTATACGAACTTTAGTGAGACCGTGGGGTTTTCCATTTAAAATCCTAATTTATGAACAATATTTGATGAGATTTACAACAATACTGTTGAAAAGGTTAATGAAACTATAGAATGCTTGGTTTTTAGGCCGACGGCAAAAATATTTTTAAATATTTATTTAATGTAGCTTTAAGTGGCAGACTCTTTTTAAATTGAGGCAGTCTTTTTATATATTATCCTAAACAGTTGTTGTTAACCTTTATGTGGCTTGATTAAATTGATCCAAGGAAAAACACTCATGAATCTGCATTTATTTCAATAACCACTTCAGAAAAATAAGTTATTTTGCATTTTCTGTACATTTGAGAACATTAATTTTTGACTGTGACTTGGCTCAGAAATATAAGTGAAAAAAAAAACAAATTTATTTTTGCTGATTTTTCATCTTGACAGATTACTTATATAATTGATTACATAAGTAATTACTTTAGTATATATCTACACATAAGACGAAAATTTACACATGTCATCATTTAAGATTTCACCATATGTTAGGTAAATAACATACTTATATATTCTTAAAACCTTACAACCCCCCCCCCCCCCCCCAAAAAAAAAAAACAACAACATAAAAAAGCACACAACAATTTGCTTTAGGGGATTGAAACAAATGTAATATTAAATGTTCATATAATTATACCGACTGTGTTAATTTCTTACATGTATGATAGTATCTCTGCATGTTTTGCATACATACATTTAAAAATTTTAACATTTTAAGAAATTGATTAATTCATGGAATTATAAATTTACCTTATTTTATACAATTTACCTTTAGCAAAATATTTCAAGAAACAAAATGATCATGTATACACAAGGAAAAAGGAAAAATATTGTTAATTTCATAGGAACATATTTGTGCATATTTTTTGGAGTATGTTTATAAACAACAGTATTACAAATATGTATGAATAGTTTGTTAAATACAGTTTGATGTGATCATCACTGGATGTGCTTGTGAAGATTCAATCTTATATTGTACTAAGGATATTGAGGTTGGATTAATGATTTAAGCTAAGGAGACAGCTTGATGGGATGAAAGTGTGTCAATAAAGTACTTGCTTTAATGAGGCAAAAACATATTTGATATAATGATTGATTAATTGATTGACTGACTACTAACTATATCAGTTGCTTGATTGATTTGTTGATCAATATGTTGATTGATTTGTTGATTGATTGATTGATTGGATGATAAACTGCTACATGACAGTACATCTAGACCATTTTTGTTGGTGAATGATTAATCTTAATTGATTGATTGATAAATTGATTGTTTGATAAATTGTTTTGATTGAGTTACATGATTGATTGTTTAAATGATTGATTGATTGATTGATCAATCTATGAACTGATTAATTGAAGCCATCAGAGAAGTTGACATAATGAAAGCATTAAAGGATTGTAAGCGAATGTCTGATGTATTGTTTACAATGCATAGTCGGTGTGATGACCTTATACAATTGTCATCATTGATTCAGGCATCTGAAGACAGTGATGCTGATGAAATTATAATATTAAAGGTGATTGATTGATTGATTATTTTGATTGATTGATTATTTTTATCTTAAATAATTAATTGATGCTTGTCCAAAAAATGTAATACAGTGTTTGAACTGATTTATTTATAGCTTTATTCAGCCCTTTTTACAGCTTTTCAGGATTTTGAATGTACTTCTTATTACATAATTATCTATACATAGTCATGTATTTATTTATTTGTTTATGTTTGATTTACAATTTAAGTAATTGATTCATAAAAAATGATCAATTTTTACCTATTTTCATGACCACATCTGAAAACAGTTACATGCACTGTAGGAGTTTCTTTGTTTATTGAAATTGATTCAAACATGTCAATTCTTTCTTCATCCTTTACCTCTCTAAACCTTTAGTCTGCTGGCAGCAACAAATTCAACCCTTACCACTAGTGCAGACCTAGATCATGCAGCACTTTTGTTCAGTCTGATCTCATATGATCTGGCACTTCTTTGCCGTCTGATCATGGTCTGCACTGTTGGCTATTCAGTGAGTTCAAATTTTGAAAATTTCCCTATAAATGATGAATGTTTTTGTCCAGACTTAAGATGAACAAATCCATTTTATATATTTAGAATAGTAAGGGTAAAATTAACTTGTCTATCTTTCATTCTGCACAAAGCAAATTTTTTAAAAATAAGTACTGACTGAATAGTGAACGGTGCAGATAATGAATAGAGTCCACACACCTAGATTGCACAGATGCTCCACATGGGCCATCTTGGTCTGCACTGACTGGTACATGGGTAGATAGCAGGCTTAGAGATATGTATTCGCCCATTGACATTGAGTCATATTACTGACTATATATGTATATAAACATGTTTTTCATTATAGAATTTTCTCATCAATAAATGAGAAAACAATTATTGTTATTATATATTGATTGATTGATTGATTGATTGATTGATTGATTATCATTAACCCATAACCTTTAAACTGCTGAATTTGTGTAATGTATATGCTTAGCAATGCATTTTTAATAGTCCATTTAAAGTTAAATGGATTTAAATATTAAAATAAGATAATTGAGGTCCAATAATATATAGACTGGTCAAACTCCACAAACATGCATACTGGTCTTAGGCTCAATTGTGGTGGCATTAAGGCTAATCACTCAGTTTCAACAGGTTAAGGGTAAATTTTACTGCATTTCTTATATTGACTAGTTTGCAGATTTTCATTTTACTTTAATGTTTCGTTTTTGAGGGAACTTAGATGATAAGTTCCAAATAAGGTATATCTAAGCCATTATAATTACCCCTTAAATATAATCTCTTGGATCCGATAGCCATTAACTTTAAATGCCACCATGGAATATAGAGTATGACCAGCCTTGACATAAGTGCAATTTGACCATTCTCAGTGGTTATATTCTAGTGACACATTTTTTGTCAGGGAAATTCTTTAAGGTTTTGAAGGAGTCTGTCACAAAGTCATTAGGTCAAAGGTCAAGACATTTTACAAGCAGCTTGTCCTGTACATTGATTGAATTGGTTCTGGAGATGATCACATGTTGGTCATAATGGAATAACTGTTATATCACTTGTCAACAAGTGTGATATTGATTCATGGAAATCTAACAGTCTCTGATCTCTTCTCCAGCCCTCTCCAGAAAGACATTGTGTGTAATGAAATTATGTTTTTTCTGTGGCAGATATATAGTTGTTCTTATTGAAGCTTATTGAAATCTTCACCAATATCCCACCACCTATGATCGTTCATAATTGGTTTCATGTTTTCTTTAACTCATATTTCATCATCATGATTTTTTTTTCTATTTATAGAGGAACTAATAATCATTAAAATTTCATTACTTCACCAATGCAATTGTTAGTTTTGTTTACTGTCACCAGAGTGGATTGTACAAGTTTGAAATTATGAATTTTTATCTATTTTCAGGAATCCTCAACAAGTGCAATATCTAACCGCCATGTCCTTATGCAACACCCCTTTCACTCCCTGGAGGTGTGGTTACAAGAGGGGAGGGATCTTGTGATCAGAGATAGTTGTGGTAAGTTAATTACTTTTACACTATATGAATCGTGTGTTCCATTACAATACAACACCCTTTCACATTCTGGAGGTGTGGTTACAAGAGGGGAGGGTCATCTTGTGATCAGAGATAGTTGTGGTAAGTTAATTTCTTTTGCTCTGTGTAAATTATGTGTCCTTTACAATGCAATATCCCTTACACTCCCTGGAGGTGTGGTTACATGAGGGGAGGGGTCTAATGTTATCAAAGATAGTTGTGGTAAGTTCATTACTTTTACTCTATGTGAAAATTATGTGTCTTTACAATGCAACTTCCCTGTCATTCCCTTGAAGTGGGATTACATTTGGGGAGGGATCTTGTTGTCAGAGATAGTTGTGGTAAGTTAATTACTTTTACACTATATGAATAATGTGTCATTTACAATGCTACACCCCTTTCACTCCCTGGAGGTGTGGTTACATGAAGGGAGGGATCTTGTGATCAGATAAGTGTGGTAAGTAATATATGTAACTAATATGTTTATCAAAATGATATCCTTTGCAATTCTACATCCATTTTACTTTCTTAAGATGTGGCTACAAATTTGGAGATGATTTGTCTCCAGTGACAGCTATGGTAAAACATTTATGTTCTCTATGTAAATCACAATATACAATAATACACCCCTTTCTGTGTGGTTATTACTTGGGAGAGATTTTGTGATCAGAGATAGCAGTGGTAATTTAGTTTCTAGTGTACCAGTTGTGTCCTTTTAAATGTAACACCTCCACCTTACTAGAGGTTTGGTTCATATGACAGATGGGTGGTAACTTGTAGTGAGAATAATAAACATTGTATGAAATTTGTGCAATGTTGAGCACAGAAATTAAGGCTTTTATTACACTATCAAAGAGGGAACTAAAATTCACTATTCAGATTTTACTCTAACAAAGCTTACAGACAAAAGAATTACTATTATAGAATGCAATATGTTACCACCGTCTTTGTTAGAATTTTTCTCTATTGATGTAAACTGTCTACATTTGTCAGACAAATTATTAGGCAATAAAGGACATAATCTTTTCACTGGACATATATTTGCCACCATATGTATAGATTGTTATGGCAATACGCCAGAAAGTGATGTCATAAAATTTGGAACATTGATGCGTTTATTATTGTTTTAGAGACCTGGTGAGACAAGGCTGAAATGCTTTTTGTTGAATTGTTAATTATTATTTATAGAAGTGGCCGGGTGGATAACGCCGCAGATTATTAATCTAAGGATTGCTGACCACATGGGTTCAAACCCTGTCAGGGCAAGCCGTTGTTTCCTTGAGCAAAAAACCTTAGTACATTCATTGCTTTAGTACTGGTTGGTTCCAGGAAAGGATTGGAGAGTGTTTCAATAAGCTTATAGCTTCCAACACAATCAAACTACAATAAATTTGTATAAACTAATTATTTATTACTAGAAAGAGTCAAATGAAACTTGTAACACTTAATTTAAGCCTGACTGCCAAAGCAAAATTGACATCAGACTTATGGGTCCTGAATTTAATAATTATTATTTTACACTGACAGCAATTTTAATTTTTTTTTGCAAACTAACATTGCCTTTTAACTTGCTAAAATTGTGTGTGGTCAGACTGCTTTGGCCTGACAGCGCTAAGAGGTGGTGTGGAGATTGGTAAATACTAGTACATTGTACAAGACCCTATTTATTTTGAGGTCAGTAACTAAAAATTCAAGGTCACGCTGGCTATGGCAATGACAAAGCTTGTCAGACCTGGCAATTACCAGAGAACATTGTTGGTCTATAGTCCTAAGATGACCACTATGAATTTTTGAAATGTATAGGTCAGGGTCACTGTGTGTTCAAGGTCACTAAGTCTAGAAATAGAATTTTCTACATGTCTCATTAGCACTTTGTTAACCATTGTGTCTTAAATATTTGATATGTAATGTGATCTTTTTGAAATGAACATTAACAACTAATTGGGTTTGAAGTATATGATGTCAAGGTCACTGGTCAGAAATTATTTTCACTACTTTTCCTTATACTTTGGGTATGTTTATTAAAGTCAAAACCCCCCTATCTGGATGGTTTGAACTATGGCATGAATGTTACAACTACATCTTAACTATTTTCTCTATTAAAAAAAACAAAAACAACAACAACAACAAAAACAAACACACAAAAAAATAATTAAAAAAAAACACTTAAAGGTGTTAAATTTTCAGATGAGATATTTTGTAAATTGACTGGTGTCATTTTGTTTGGTTGAAAAATTTACTGTCTGAGAGGTCCTGTAGATCATGGTGTCTGAGTTTAAGAATTTTTATAATCTTTACTAGACATTGAGGTAAATTATTGGTCTGACAACTATTTGCATTATTTTTGTCTTAGAATAAAACAGAAAATGAGAATTTCACCCACATATACTAGTGTAATAAGAGATTATAAATCAGATTGTAGTGTAGAAATAGCTAACCAGAATTTGGTAATAAAGTAATGCTCCATTTTACTTTTCCTCAAAATATTTTACTCTTCCTCAAAATATTATACTTTTCCGAAGAAGTAAAATGAACTATGTCAACACATTATTCTGTCTACTTCAAGTCCTATAATTATTACTTTTAAATTTTGCTGTTCTTATATTTGTTTATAATTTTGTCAATTCTGATTCTTGGCACTTATTAATAAATGTACCAGTATGTGTTGGACCTGATGATGATGTGAAGCATGCAGTCAATTCAAATCATCAGCTTAAAGGTCAAGGTTACACTTACTTGTAAATCTAATGATTGGTATAGATGGTTGTGTCTTGCCAGGTCTGTGTCAGTCATTGGAGGATTTTTTTTGAAAATTATGCATAAAATTTATGATAAACTAGTGCATTAAGCTTATGTGTTTCAGGCTAAAACAAGGTTTATAACTAAAAGGTCAAGGTCACACATAACTTGAAAGAAAATTTATCATAAAAGTTTAATGATATTTATATCTGGCTATAATATGCCTTTCATTAATAGGTGGATGTGTTGCTGGCAAGAATTAGGTCATAAGTAATTGTTATTCATGGATCAGCCCAAATGTCAAGGTCAAACTTGAATGTCAAAAGTCATGATATAATAGAACATTGATAGTACATGTAATGTTAAGTCCATATCTTTTCCATTCAATGACATTAAGGGACACGGCCTAATATGTTGTACTTTATGAGTGAGAAAAAGTTCCTAACTTAAAGGTCAAAGTTACCCTAAGACTGGGTAAAATTTCATAAAGGTAGTGCAGAAATGGGGGGAGCATTAAATTTTCTTCGTTTCAAATGAAAGTTGTTTCTTTTTGAAAGAAAACCCCAAGCTTATTATTTAGAAAACTTTTTAATGTGGAAAGTCTGAAATTGATCTCTAAAATAGGCAGACATTTTAAATTGAGTCTAATATAGTCTGATGTTCTAACTGTACAATGATAAATTGAGATTTTGCATGACTAAATGTAATACTTGAATGAAAATTTCCACAAAGTAGTCTGCATGGCTGAATGGTCTGAAATGCAGTTGTGTTTCATTCATATTGTAGTAACATGCTATTTTAATTAGAATTACATGTAAAGTACACTAATGCTGCTGGTACTGGAATCAATGTGCACGTGACTGATTGTTGTCAGAGGTTTAAATCATCTGAACTTGGGTATAATTACATATTGAACATTCTTTGATATTTCAATTGAACTCAGTATGTAAGGTTTTCCTACTTATACTCTTAGTAAGACATTATTTTTAGTTTTTGCTATTGCAACATCCTAAAGCAACTGATAATTCTTGTTGTTTTTCAAAATTATATTGTAATAATTGTTTCCTTTATCATTTTCCAGGTACCAGTGATCCATATGTGAAATTCAAACTTGGCAGCAAACAATTATATAAAAGTCGAACTGTTCTTAAAAACTTGAATCCAAAATGGGATGAACGGTTTGTGTTATCAATAGAAGATGTTTTCCGTCCAATTCTACTCAGTGTTTACGATTATGACCGTGGAAGGTTTGACGATTCCATGGGTTCAGCGGAACTAAATCTGGAAAACTTGAAACCAAATGAGTAAGAAATAAGTTTTTTATTTATTTTTCTGAGAAAATGTTTAGGTGTACAAAAGATGTGGTTGAGGCATCAGAATATCAGCCACCGTATAACCCTGCGCGATTGTAAGAGGCAACTTAATGGTTTTGAATTATTGGATTCTAATATGCATCTCTTAGCTCTAGCATGTCAGGTGGTTGACCCTTGTGTTGCTTTGAAGTTTGTAACACCTGAGTTTAGCCGAAATTATCTTGCCTGTTTTGGTGCTATATGACCTAAACTGTATTGGTGCAGAGTAGAACCAAACAAAACGATACAATACAAACGATGTGCAAGCACTTTAGAAAGTATGCAAAAGAAAGGAATACCTGTAAGAATACAAACATTTTATGTAATTTATTATACATGTTGACTTTGTATTCCTATTCCTTCAAATGAACTCACAAATATGTTTCATGGATATCAAGAAAATGTTTGGGGTTTTTTTTTTGTAGAATACATATCTTTTTTCCATAATTATGTGTAAATTAATGTATTTTTGAACTAAAGTCTAATTTGCCCAAGCAACCACAATGTACTAAGCTCTAAATTTTGTTTTTAGCGACTGCTTTAAATTCCCAGCGATCATTAATTTGTCTGATTTTTCTGTCTTATATCTTTACTGTGATAAGCTACTTTTGTTCAATGCCTCGATACATTATCACAGGTTTTAGATATGTTCTGTATATTTTCAAGCATTTTTAGTAATATAAATTTGTTCTATTCGTACAGGATATATTTTAAGTAAAATTTTTGTTTTTCAGACCAACAGATTTAGAGTTAAAGTTGTCAGACAAGGGTAAATCCGACTACATGGGTGTGATCAAATTACAAGTTACCCTTGTACCAAAATCTCAGGAAGATAGGGATCAGGTGAGAATTAGAAACTACTTATTGTGACAATTGGTTATAGCTCGGCTTATGACACCGGTGGTCAGGTAGTTGTGCATGCTTAGTGGATGAAACATTGTAGCAATTCTACTCTTAATTCTGGCAATGATACTGGTAGCAGTGCCTCACCAATTTGACCCTCACCGTGCCATATATCTTAGATGGACTAGTCCATCTTCTAATCAGGACAAAACCATTCATCATTTTGGGGAAAACTTCAAGTACGCACTTTAATAAGTATGTAATACAAAAGAAAGAGATAACTCTAAGAATGCAAACATTTTATATAGATTATTATACATATATTGGTTGAATCGTGAACAGTGCAGGCCATGATCAGATGACAGAGATGTGCCAGCTAATCTTGATCTGCACTGATACAATGGGTAGAAACAGTTCTTGCCACCAGGTTAGGTCAGTCTAAATGGATGCATGAAAGAAACCAAAATAATTTTGCTCACAAGTTAAATGTCCAACATATTTAAGCAAAATGCAAAACTTGTCCTTCATAATAAAATATGTGGGAAAGATTTCAGGGATACATGTATTTAAAATCCAGCATTTAGTATTATCCTTCCCTTTTGGTATTAAAGCTGATTGGAAGGAAAAACTTTTCTGCACCAAAAATATTTCAAGATACAAGACATGCTTTAATTAGATCATGTAAATGTGGCATCAGTTTTCTTAATAGCTGTCATAGTTTTGCAATTGCAGAAATGATCATTGAGAATGGATTCAGACAAAATGGTAAAGCGCAAATTTTAAATGAAATCCTGCTATAATTATGAAATGGACTTTTCCTGTAGTAAATGTAGACTGTTCCATTAATGATGTGGAGAATTTCAACATAAAAATTTAAAAAATGTAACCTTATTATATAATAGTAGTAGACTCTACTAAGATGCTTTCTTATTTTGAAACATTACATAATGACTGGTCTTTCACCATATCTGTGAAGCTGCAATGTCTCCATATAACCATAACAGTTTATATGTACCTATGAAAACTGCCCCCCACTGCCCCCCCCCCACAACAACAACAATTTCAAGTTAGAAATGCTAATTTATAAAGAGTAGTCTGCTGAGTTTTTAGCATGGCTTAGTGGTTGATGTGTCAGACTAGTAATCTAAGGATTGCTGACCGGGTGGGTTCAAACCTCATCTGAGGGCCAAGCCCTTGTTTCCGTGAGCAAGAAACTTTACACTTAGTATTACTTAGTACTGGTTTGTCCGATAGAGTGTGTCAATAAGCTTATAGCTTCCATCAAAATCAAACTAACATAAATTAGTATAAACTGTGAGTTTTAGATTACTAGTAAAGGCTTTATTGTCAGAGATTTCAAGTACGTTTGTTTCTGGCCATGGTTATAGTGGAAATAAGTATGAAATTTTACTATTTCCCAGTACGGTAATGATATTGTTATTGAGGCCAATGGCAAGATGGTGTTTATGTACTGTAAAAGCTCATGGTCCATTAACAAACTCGTATGATAAGTTTTATACTCTGAATCATTTATAGCATAAGCAGCGTGATAAATGATATTAAAATAAGTGTATCATGATAAGTATTCAGAAGGGTACTGATGAAAGCACAAATATTGAACAAACTGTATATTTCATGAATATTTAATGATAGTTATTTATTTTTATGATGTCCCTTAGTGCATCTATTCTTTATTTTCTGACTTTATTACCTCCCTTTACAATTCTGTTGAAAATGGCTGTTTATGTATATCTGTTGTTTTTGTCATTATACTAAACAAAACCTCTGCACAACACTGTAGTTAAAGGTCCATTTAGCCTACGAAATACTATCATTTTTAATTAAACATTTTTTTAGCTTGACTTGCTCAAAGTATGCTTGACTTTTTCATAGTTTTAAATTTTGAGCTATTGCGAAGGCAATGAAATCAGAAAGGGAAATAAATAACACAACTCTTATTTGTTGAGAAAAATAAATTACTACTAAATTGGAATATCAGGTGGCTCTGATACACAGCACATTTCAGATGGGTAGTCAAATTTTCTACAGCAAAACTTTATAAAAAAATATATGATATTTATTTATGCATGAATAGAACCTGTTGCTGCCAGTAGGCTAAGATTTGATTATTATCTTTTCTTATTGTATGCTAAGAAATCTCAGAAAAGCTTAATTGGACATTGAATATTCCCTTACTCTGATGATTTAATACATCAAGGAAGATTCTTTCCTCGAAAGTGACATGCAATAAATCTTGAAATTTACCTTTTCTCCCAGACAGTTGCTAGGTTACCTTAGAACGGCACATTGCAAGGAAAAGTAATGTTGCATGATGAATGTTTGAAAGTCTACTTCAGAATTTTGTGACAGTAGTAACATCCATGCTAAAATCAATATTAAACAATTACCGGGAAATCTGTTTCAAGCACCATACAGGTTTCAACACCCAAAGGAAACCCCAGGAAATAATTTTCCTACTGACAACTTTTATATATTCTGCAGTATCATTATGTTGTGATTGTCTTGGAATTAATTCTTGTTCAGCAAACACATTGCACTTCAAGGTAAGCTCTTGTGTTGATATTTGACTCTACATTTCAATAATACACATTTTAAATGGAAGAAGATTAGATGCTCTTAAAGGCACTGTATATTTAACTTTATAATACTGCACGTTTGTAATGTCCCTTTTCATTGGATAATCGTGACATTTATATAGTTTTATACACATGGCTGTTGTCGATTCATGAAGAAATCTTACTTTTTTCTCTAAAAAATGATGTTTGCTGTATTATAAATTTGTTATAAAGATTGTTGATAGGTTATATGGCCGTATATAAATGGCTGTTTGCAATATAACCGTAGCGGCTCGGGTTATATTTACAAACAGCCTTTTATATACAGCCATATAACCTGTCAACAATCTTTATAACTAATAATGTACATGTTAGAATGATGATTCTACTTAAATAGATGTGTTTTACAAAGGGGCATTCATGGCTAAGTGGTAAAGGTCTTTAGCTTTGGTCTCTTGCTCCTGACTGCTATGGGTCTGCCAGGTTCTCGTCATAGGGAGAGCATTATAATAGATTTGTAATCCAGGGATAGTTGGTTCAATCCTCTTGGGAGGCATAATTTATGCATGACAATTGACACTAAGTCTATTATGTCTATTTGTCTTGAACTGCTAAAACATTAATCATGTGGGATATTATTAAGTATAGTCCTTCACTTGGGGACAAATTGGTATTTACCGGTTAGTTATCCGGGAAAGCTGGTTATGTGGACCGTCTACCAAAATAATAGCCAATAATGTGTTAAAATAGATGTTAAAACAAATCAACCAAACCATTGATCACATCAGCCTGTGGACTATCGGCAGACAGTGAAATCCATAAGTCAAAGCTATTCTGCTAGCTTACAGAAGGTCAGTGGGTCTACTCAGGTTCTGGTTCATGGCTGAAATGAATAGGATAAAGGGCGCCTAAGGTCTTCCTTTACCAGTAAAGTTGGAATGTTTCTATAATTATGACCTATATTAAATCATGAGGAGCTAAAACAAACTGTTTCAAAGTCTTTTTTTTCCACAGAATTGTTGAATTTCTGAAAACTGTATTAAAAAAACATCAGTTTAATGTTATCTGAATAAGAGATAACCAAAATCAGTAGAGTAAACAAAAAAAAAAATCATTTTATATTTGTGCCTTTGAAGGTCATTGATAATAATATTTGACTTTTTGCAATTTTCAAGGTTTAACTACATGTATTTTTATGGTTCATTTTGTTAAAAGTATAATGGGCCTAAGAAATTGAGACCTGTCTGTGTTTCGAAAAGTTTTAATGTGGCTTTAAAACCCAGTCTTAAAAATGAAATAACAAAATAATAAAAATAATAAATAGGCATAAATTACGGAAAATTTAAGACATGATATGACATTAATATGACCTGAATAAGAACATTTTTATGAATAATTAGTTACTGTTTTAAAGATTAAAACATCTTGGTAGTTACATAAAGTACATTTTGTGCATGCTTAGATTTAATAAATGTTTTAAGATTACCGCTAATGTTTTGTTACTATTTTAAGAATAATCTTTTATGGTACAGGTGTAACAAATATCTCCATGTATAGCTCAGGTTTACTTTCATGGAAAAAAATAGTTTCAAACTTTTGGATTTAATTTTTCTTTTGCGAAATGTTTAAGAGATTATCCAGATCAGTGGTTAAACGGTTGGATTTAATTAAATTTGTGAGTTTAAGTTGTTGTTGTTTGTTTTTAACAGCGATAGTTTTATTTGGGTTAAGGTTTTAGTTCAAAATGTATAGAGTAATCCAAAGTAAACACTGCTACACTATTGAGATAAGAAGGAATTCTTTATTTTTCATTCATCAATATATGCACATAATTTTGTAATTTATAATTTAACATATTTCTTATTCAGTTAATTAGGAAGAAATAAAGGAAAACCCACACTATTTTTTTTTTTAAATAAAAAAACATTGAAAGTCCATGGAGAAGGGTGTGATTTTAGTTACATATGCATGCAAAATTGTCATGAGTGGGTTTACCAGCACCCTCTCCCCCATTCTCCGCCCCCTCTTTTTAACCCCACTCCCAACAGATATACCACTATAATTATATTCATGAATATGAACTTCAAGATAGATGAGTAAAGTTAACCCTATTTCTTCAAGCATCCACCTCTCTGAAAAACCTTAGGATTTTATAAATTTAATTAGTTTTTATTTCACCTGTTTGTTTTAATGGTAAAAGAATGCCTTCATATTTCTACCAACCTTTAAATGATTTGAAGTGTTCTGTCTTAGCATTATATGACTTAGGTAAAAAATAAATTATATAAATCTTAAGAACATTTTTACTTGTTTACATTGTTCAGATGTTGTTTATATCACTATTATATCAATGGCATAAAACATATCATTTATTGTTTATAGAAATACCATTTATATTTATGATAAATAGGTATAAATATATGATCGATACTAAAATGGAACATTCACCTTGACAAATCTACCTTTATTAACGAGGTTTTCAAATTTGAAAAATCCTTTTTATCAGATAAGTGTAAAGCGGGTAGGCTGGAGGTAATTTAAGTTTGTAACACCTAAGGATAGCCAAGATTTTCTTTCCTGTTTTGGCGTCAAATATGATCTAAATTGTGCTTTGTGCCATTAAACCAAACAAACTAACCTATGTTTGTGTCCCCACAGGGTAAGGCTGGAAATGGAGGTTGGGGTAGGCTTAAGGGGTTCAAAATCCAAATGTTGAAGTCTCCTCTAATACATGGTCAGGTCAGGAAGGGCTGGAGGTTATAAAAATGAATTGATTTTTGCATAAAAGAAGTGAAAAACAAAACACATTAAAAAAATCTGAAAGTAAATGAAATGTCAAACAAATCAAAGTTGAACCAGGAAATTACCATGGACATCTGGATGAAGATATTTTCTCATTATCTTTTCCATCTGTTACCATAGCCATTATCTTGAATTTCAAATTTACATATATGATTAGCTTTATTATTGACTTTTGTAATTTCATATATAGCAAAATTCATATTATAAAGGATATGAACTGTAAATCTCAAAGGAGCTGCATTTGGCATATAATAATGAAACTCTTTGTTATGGACTTATAACTCAAAGGATCTGTAGATTCAATTTATTTAGTTAATATTATATTTTTTTCTATACAAATTAAAGGAAAATGTCATCAGCATTGTCTGAGGTAAAATTACTTTTCTTTTGATATCAGATTTCTCTAAGAATTTTTTATGACGAAAAGAAAAATTATATGATCTTTCTTCTCTCTGAGATTTTTTTTATGATGAAAAGAAAAAAATGATCAATAGAAGAATATGAAGCCATAACTTCCTGGAAACAAAAATAACTTATCATTTTATGCCACCATAGTTCAGAATAAGTCTTGCCAGGATCATTATTATATAATATACAGTTTTGTAACTAAATCATATTATTTTGATTGTAAAATCCCTTCAACTTTGGATGGAGTGTTCCACATTGAAAGCAGGAAAATTCCATTACATTAATTTAAAAGGTTTAAGGTTGAGACATTCACATTAATGAAATAATGTTGCTATAGAAATAAATAAGTTTTGATTAAGACCATTTTTGAAAGCTTAAATAGCTAAATTGTGTATCAAAAGCAGCTAAATGTTCAGGAATAAGTAGTAACAAATGTTGAGAATTTCAAACAAGTAAATTTTTAGTGATATAATTAAAAAAAGCCATATAATTATATCAAAACCAATAGCAACTTCAGTGTTTGATCAAAAACAGTAGTTAGTAACTTATATTATGTAGTATTTTATTTTTATAATTCTCCACTAAGTGATCGTAAGAGGTGACTAAATGGGTTTGAATAGTACTGGAGTTTGTGCATCTCTAATTCCTGGTGTTGCGTTAAGTTTGTAACAACTGAGGTTAGCCAAACTCATCCTCCAAGTTTCGGGCCCATATGACCTAAATTGTGTTGTTGCACTGTAAACCAAATAAAACAAAACAAATTATTTCATATGTTGAGAATTTCAAACAAGTAAATTTTTAGTGATATAATTAAAAAAAGCCATATAATTATATCAAAACCAATAGCAACTTCATTGTTTGATCAAAAACAGTAGTAACTTATATTATGTAGTATTTTATTTTTATAATTCTCCACTCAGTGATCGTAAGAGGTGACTAAATGGGTTTGAATAGTACTGGAGTTTGTGCATCTCTAATTCCTGGTGTTGCGTTAAGTTTGTAACAACTGAGGTTAGCCAAACTCATCCTCCAAGTTTCGGGCCCATATGACCTAAATTGTGTTGTTGCACTGTAAACCAAACAAACAAAACAAATTATTTCATATGTGAACAAAATTTTTAATTACTGGTGTATATCGAAAAGCTAAGAATAAACTATGGGTCACAATGTAACATACATATTTCTGTGTAAAGTTAATTTAATTTCAGTCATATAATATCAAATTCTTCTGTCATTCATAATTTCAGAACTTTTGATAAGCTAAACTCAGCATAAATTCTTGTATTTTTTCATTATGTTCACAAGTCAAGCCAAATGATAATACATCAATTATAATAATTATAAGATTTAATTACTTCAAGCTTAAGCTTAATATACATGTATTTATTATTTCAGTACTTCAAACGTACAGTGAAGCTGACAGACAAGGAATCGGCTGCCCGTAAACTCAAGATGCAGATGTGGACTGGGGTCGTGACTATAGTTCTTGTTGAAGGTCGCGACCTCATACCAATGGATGACAACGGGCTTTCAGATCCTTATGTGAAGTTTAAACTAGGCAATGAAAAATATAGAAGTAAAGTAAGTGGTGTACTGCATGTTCAAATCATTATCTTACTGAAAACCTGTCTGGCAGGTCTGGCATTTCCAGTGGCTCCAGTCTCCTGAAGCCTTCTAACGTTGTTCTGATATATTTCATATGATAATGAGTAAATGTCAACAAATTTCCTAGCTTTTATTACAATTTTTATTATTCTTCTCCAATCCCCTCCCACCAAACCCACTCCATGAATACACTAGTCTATCTGGAATTCTTTTTCAAAATTCCAAAAAAAATTTGAATGATAGGCAACAGATACATTTGTCTCTACAAAATACTGAAAACATTACTAAGTATTACTGATTATAATTTTTGCGATAAATGAAAATGTTGAATTTTGGCAATTGATTTATTGGGTCTGTTATAATGTCTGATTGATAGGTAATAAATCAGCATAAAGAAATTTGATAAAATGATGTAACTGTAGAAGACAATTTAGAAGACAATTTGATCTGACTCATCTCCTACTCTAAAGGAAATAGGATTTGTTGTGGAAAATGGCTCTGTCAAGATAACTAATGAATTTGAATATTAAAGCTTTAGAATTCTGCAAAAAATAATTATGTCTTCTAGAAATGTAATTTTAAAATGCATCAATCACAGAAATTGACTCATCTTTGATAAAAATTTATAACCTTTCATTAACCCGTACAATGCTGTTTATCTTAAATGTAATTGTCCAGCTTTCAAACTGAACAAAACCATGAAGCATTTTTATAGAAAAAATATAAAATATGTACAGACTGAATTAGAAACAATGCTGGCCATGAGTAGATGGCATAGACATGCTAGCTGATCACAGTCTTTACTGGTTATATGGGTAGAATCTGTTGCCACCAGCAGGCAAAGGGTTTGAGAAAATGAATAAAGATATTATTCTACTGAATGAGAATTTTCTTTAATTATCCTTATTTCATTTTTTTTGTCTAAATATTGTTTAGTACAGGGACTGTATAGGGAGAGGGGAAAAAATATATGTATAAGGAAGAGAGACAGCTGTACTATTGTGCAATAATCTAGCATGTAGTTGATTAATGTTTCTTCTGTTATTGTCTTCCAAATTTATTGGTACCAGTCTGATGTCATAAATCATATCTTTAACAATGATTGAACCCAACTGAGCAGAATGATAACAAAGTTTATTAGTGTCTGTTCATGAAAAAATGGTTGCTTAATTCTCGAGAATGTTCTTTATACAATTTCACTCCTAGACATCGGTATTCCACATTATTACTTATATATCATCCAAATGGGAATAAACAAGTATTTCAAAAGCATATTTACTACTACATAGATTCTTTAATTGGTTTTGAATACAGAATATATTTACTTAGAAATTTCAAATATTTTTCCCAGCTTGTTATATAATAGAACAATTCAAACTTAAAATTGACTTCAATATCTCACTTGTAACAGCTAGTATCTTATTGATTGGGATAAATTAAATGTTTATGTCAATATTTTTGCACCAATTTGACAAATTCTCTGAAAAGTTTATGTTTTTCCTGCTGAAAAATTAATACCATAAATATAAACAAAGATCTTAGAAATACATGAGTTCAGGCAACTTCTTGAAAGAAGACCCTGTCTTGTGATTGATCGCAGCCATATGAGTGAGTAAATACAGTATCTATAATGTCAGTTATGTTTGTAGCTATATATGCACAAGATGGTAAAACGTGTAAAAAGTTTTCTTTAGGAGTATGTAGCTTTTAAATGTTTATATTTTTATGATTTATGTTATTTATTTTTCAGCATAAATATAAAACACTGAACCCACGCTGGCTAGAGCAGTTTGACCTTCGACTGTATCAAGGTCAGACAAGTCACCTTGAGATTGTCATGTATGACCATGATGTAGGCAGAGATGATTTTATGGGCAGGTTAGTTAAATAATTATCATAATTGGATGTTTTTAGACAAAGGCAAATTAGGCAATCAGTTTTTGATTAATCAAATTTTATAAAGTAGTAAAACAAAACTTATTTCATTGTGCGAAAGGAACTTAAAATATTAATCATTTCCATGACATAAAGAAACACATTTTTACTGTATGTGTACTGACTTAGGTCTTCAGCTTTAAAAAAATCATGAAAGTCTATGAGTGATGTTCAAAACATTGAAATCTGTAGCTTTTACATTGTGCATTTATATACAAGGACTGTTTTGATCCAATCGTCCTCCATAGCAAAACAGTTAAGGTCTAACTTGAATTCACTTGCTCCTCACTGATGTTGGTTCTAATCCTGCAAAAGAGACCTGATTCTACCATATTTTCACCTTATTGCAGTAATGTGTTAACTCCTATTGCATTATGTAAAGAGTAAACCGATAACTGCACTAAGGGGACAATAAGGGAAAGCTATAGAAGGTCACTAATGGTTCTACCCCAGTGCTTATTTGCACATGAAATTTAACTTTTGGGATATCAATATTAAGATTTGAAGTTTTAGGTAATCCAATATCTGTGTAGTCTGACTAGGTGCTTTCCCTGTGACAAAGACTTATCACTTTTAGCTTCCAGCATTATCAGGGTTAAAGAAATTCAAAACTCAAAAGAATTATATTACCATGGAAACAGTGAAATTAGGCTGACCAGACAGCTCAGACTGGCATGGCTCTATAATGATGAAAAAGACAAATCATTACTGCTACTACTACATTCTAACAATTTAATGAAAGTATTTTGGTAAATCAATATTGTCTCAGTCTAATTTTCAATTAAAGACATTGGTCCTTTAATAAAAAGTGGAATTTTTCAGGCCATGATATTTCCTTGCTTTCTAAGGTAGAAAAGCATCACTTATTTCGCCGATTATTTTATTTTTCATTCATTATCATATATAAATCAGTGTGAATTAGATGGCTTAAAGTGCATTTCGACAGGAGAAAAGGCGAGATTTTAGTATTTAATCATTCAAGCACCTTGTCCGGGATATACTGGAAAATGGTATTTAGTGTGGTTACCCAACACTTTCTTTAGTCTCACTCTAGGTAAACTGTATCAGAGACTGGTCAGGCTGGCCTGGCACTATACTGGTGGCAAAGGATAATCTTATTTTAGTTCCAGCAGGCAAACTTGCTGAATCTTTAATTTCTGTAATATTTCATGTGGAGAGGTGTTGTATAATACTTATTACTTTTACAGACTAATTGTATTATTTTGACATTTTAAGACTTATAGTTATAGCAAGAGGCAATACAGTAATTCAACGAAAGAACATTTTTTGTCATCTTTGAAATTTATGTCCTGCCAAGATTTGCAATTTTTCATAAGAGGTCTGCGACTATCTTAGTATGAAAGGCATAATGGCGCCACTTTGTCTGTCTGTAGCAATCATCAGAAAATCTTTAATGGTTAATGAAACCTCTTGTGCTTGTCATTCAATATCTATTTTCATATTTGTTTTATGATTGCAATGCAATTCCTAGCAGAGCTGTGAGAAATAGGCTGCTATATTTCTCGTTAAATTAATTTTTACCAAACTTGACAGAAGCATATTAAAGAAGTAATAAAACTGTGTCCGGACAAGTCTCATGTTGCTCCTTTAAGTTTGATTGAAAATTTCACATGATAGCATTGACTGAAAATTTCAAGTTATAACATTGACTGAAAATTTCAAGTTGAAACATTGATTGAAAATTTCAAGTTTGGAAGCATTTTAACCTATTTTTAACACATTTAAAATGTGTTTTCATAGGGCATTAAAGCTGTATTATTTTTTAGCGAAAAATTCTTATTAGTGAATAGTGCATGCCACGGTCAGACGCACAAGCTTATTATGGTCTGCACTGGGTTAGAATGGGTAGAACCATTAAAGGGTTGAAGGCAGCGCATAAATGAAACGGCAGTTAAAATGATGTACTCTTTGTAAGGGCATTGATTATTTTAATCATTTTGATAATATTTTCAAACAGTATTTAAAATATATTCAATAAAAATGAAAGAAAATCCTCAAAGATATAATCAAATCTACTGCAAAAAAGTGCCCTACTTTTGGCATGTCATTAAAAAATACTATATTGACATTTCCAGTGCACACAAATTATTTGTCTAGTTAGGAAAGAATCTCTATTTGCTGTGATTATTTACCATGATCAGTACAGAAACTTAATGTAACATAGACAACATGAGGGATGGGGCTAGAATGTATAAAATCGGGAAGATTTTTTATTGACAATACATAATCAGACTTTTTTTGCGTTGAAGAAAATTCTCTCTTCATGTATTATTATATAAACATGCAAAAATGGAAGTTTGCCTTTTATCAGTTTTATAGAATTGATATTTTCTAAACCCGTACACTGCTGGAACCAAAAGTGATAAGCCTTTGCCATTAGTATAGTCAGGCTTGTACATAATATGCAGTCTGACCAGACTCTATGCTGTTGCTTGACCAACTTCAAGTTTTCATCATGACAACCCCAAAATTGATAATGGATAGTTCCAAAATAGGGAGCTGGACAAGTCCATTTGATAAAATTCAGCAAGGTAAGTATTAAAACAATAGAAAAAGTAATCAGTGTTTTATTATTTTTTTTTGCCATTACAGAGCTGTGATAGACTTATCGAAACTTGAAAGGGAGAGAACTCATGTGATAGAACAACAATTGGAGGACGGTGCCGGCATTCTTAAATTGCTCATCACAATCAGTGGCACGTCGGGTCACGAGACCATCTCAGATCTCTCAGCATATGCATTCAATCCCATGGAAAGGGAAGAAATTGTCCGAAAATTTGTAAGTGTTCAGTTTGACTTTAGACAATTATTTGTTTAAGCATGTTTATGAAACAACTTTTTATTAAACCCCTCTCCAATCTGTTTCCTGGAACTTACAATCAAGAATGGCATCATGTGAGGAAACATGGCCTTGTCTCAAGTAGGACTAAAAGACATGATCTAAAAGGTGATGTTGTTGGTGATGGTACTAGTTTTCACTGCGGATCACGGTAGTAAGCCACATTGACTTAATCACAGCACAGTTCAGCTTCCACTGCATTGTTTCTGAGCAGGCTAGTGCTTTAAGTTGCCAACATTCCGCAGGAAACTGATAACTTCTGTACATGCCAGAGCAGATGTACAGTGCAAATGTTAAAAGGATTTCATGATCAATCACAATGACAGTGACCTGTACCATCTGGGAATCTAACTCGGGTCATGTGATTCACACTCCAATGCTCTACATATTGAGCTAACTGGACAGTTTTGCTGATCTAAAGGGTTGAGCAGTAGACACCTTAACTTCTTGGTCACAGCAGCCGAAAAATATTTATTGGAACAGGTTCACTGCTACTATAATTTAACGTTGATTTGTCAGACTAAAAGGATTTTCATACTGGGCTGGTATGGCCCTTTACTGGTGGCAAAGGCTTATTACTTCCAGTGCCAGCAGGTACAGGGTGAATGTCCAAAAATCTAGTCAATGTTAAATTTTACTTATATGACAGTTTTAAAAGTAAAAGGAAGGAGATTGTTATAGAAATGAAAATTTAATTGCTATATTTTGTTTATTTCAGGGTTTCTTCAAGTCTTTTCAGAGTATGAAAGACATTGGCTGGTTACAGGTCAAAGGTAATCTATATGTTCTTTCAACTGTTAATATTGGTCTGAAAACTTTGATACTTTGAGTAATTTATAAAAACAGTCATCTTAGTTTGCCTCAGTACCAGGCCCAACTGTACAGAATTGAGCAATTACTGGGCTAGAAAATGGGAAGTTGTATACTAGAACAGAAACATTATAATGCATGGAGGCCAGGTTTCATATTTAGTTTAAACATATTAACGCACTCCTTTCGAAGAAGGGAGAGCATATTGCTTTACTGCTCTTGGTCAGTTGGTCTGTCTGTTGTCCACCAGCAGTTTCCGTTCATTTTCTTCACAGAGGTTGCTCATACTGAATATAGATTTATCATAAATCAAGTTCTGTTTGAGGTTCGATCAAGCAATTTTTGACAGAGTTATGCCCTTTGGACTTAGAAAAATTCCAATTTTTTGCAATTTCTGTTCATTTTCTTTGCCGAGGTAGCACATACTGAAATGGAATTTGCTGTACAGATTTTAGGTCAAGTAAAGGTGTTAATTGCTCTAGAAAGGTTAAGTTTTGGAAGAAATGGTAGTGTTGCTGTTAAAAGGGTATTTCATTAATGGTTTAGAGATGGCTGCATGTCCGAGGATGATCTGTATTATATACATTTTCAGTCAATAGTGACTTCTACAGTTTTGGCAAATTCTCAAAATACAAAAAGAAAACATTTTAAATTCAATTTCACTGACAACTCTGTATTCCCGCTGCTCATCCATTGTCATGATGCACGCTTTTATAAGATCATAAAATATCCATTCTCAAAAACATTCCAAATTTTAGAGGTTTAAAATTATTGAAAATTGAAACGAAAATTAAGAATACAAATTTATTTACCCTCCTTAGGGAAGATCGAGTATTGTAATCAAGGAAATAGGAAGCAATTTCTAAAGAAATATTTGTTAAGTGGGAGACTGCATTTTTTTTTCTTCGATGTTTGTGTCATTAAATTACTTGTATGAAAATTATAACACAGAAAAACACAGTATTTGAATAAAAATTTTATAAAATGAGCCGCATCACGACAAAACCAACATAATGCATTTGCGACCAGCATGGATCCAGACCAGCCTGCGCAGTCTGATCAGGATCCATGCTCAACAGTTCGCTTACAAACACTATTACAAGTAGAGAAACTGATAGAGAACAGCATGGATCCTGATCAGACTGCGCGGATGTGCAGGCTGGTCTGGATCCATGCTGGTCGCAAACCCACTATGTTGGTTTTGTCATGGCATGGCTCAAATGGACTTGATGCACAAGAAATCCATTTAGTTTAAGGAGTACAAAATAATTTTGTTTCCAAGATTGTTATTCTTAAAATAATATCCTGTTTAAAGAAAATTTGAATGTCTCTGTTATCATTTTAATTTAACCATTTTGATCACACAATACAACAATGGCCTTGTGTGATTATTACAAATGGTTTGTTATTATTATTATTATTTTTTTTTTTTATCAAAGTAATAATATTTTCCTCCTGCTGCTACTGTAGTTGTTGCTGCTGATGAGAGAATGATGATAATGATGATGATGGTGATGATGATGATGGTGATGATGATGATGATGATGATTATCTCAAATTAATTTTGTTATAATCATTATATATAATGTAATTTTCATCCCCTATTTTATTTAGTGAAATATTTTGACATTATATGTATGTATGAAATAATTGCAAATTTTTTTTTTAAAGTCGTTTTTGCAAAATTCTTGTTTGATTCAATAAAATGATAAATCTCTCCAACACTGTTATTTAGCTTAGTCAAGTACATGTATAATTAATGAATTCACAATGTTTTCTTGATTTAATCTTTGTAATTTAGTTCCCTAAATTGATACTAGATAACAAATGTTTCCGTGTAGGAAGCAGACTTGATCTGTATTCTGATGAGTTTAGAATTAGATTATCTTAAATGTCAAGCAATAATTCTCTTTGCTTTTAATTGAATTAACTCTCTAAAAGGTAGCATTGATAATGACATGTTTAGCAACCAATAGAAAACCAGCTTGCTTGTACAATAACTAGTTCACCTGAGCACTATTTAGTGCCTAAGAGGTTTGCCTTGTTTTTGTATTTTTTTGTGATGGAAGTGTGTTTGTCTTCTATCAGTTGTCTTTTATATTTATCCAAAAAATCTTTAAAAAAAAATTCCATTTTAACTATTTGGTAGATTTTTACCAAACTTCACAGGAATTGCCTGATAGTGGCCCTCTATAGAAGTTTTGTATATGCTTAAGGGATATTGCCTATAGCCAGTAAGTGACCCATCTTGATTTTGTAGTCGTTTAGTCATGGTCACAGTTACACTGAATGTGAAGTTGTTGTGTAATAAATAACAACAGTTTTCTCAATCATATGTGTGTGTTATAAAAATAAGTTATTATACAATTATTATATATATTACTTACTAACAATTACCGTGCTGGCATCAACAAAGTCCACCCATACAGTTAGTGCAGACAAAGATCAGTCAGCACGTACATGCCAGCTAACCAGTGTCCACGTTATTAGCTGTTCAGTCAGTACTGATTTTGAAATATTCCTCAAAAATGATGAATCAGGTTTTGGTGGACAAGTTCATTTAAGATTCTTATGTTGGTAATCGTAATGCTTGACCTTTATAAAAATTAAGTATTTTAATTTAAGTATGTTAAAAGATGCCACTGTGCGAAGCAAATCATGTGAGAGTGTATTAGTGTTCTATCAAATGATTTAATGCTAAAAGTCATTCTAAAAAGTATATTAGGCTTGATTTATGCATGAAAAATTGTGCAGTTAGTCTGAGAAGGTATTTATTAAAATGAAGGAAGTAAGGAAACCATCAAATAAATTACTACACAGTTTAATCAAGGCAGCTATTGAAAACTTTAAAATTTATTGATTGGCAGTGCCCCCTGATTGATTAATTGCTGTTATTTTTTGTTCATATCTTGGTAAAATATGTATTAAATTTAATCATACAAACACTTGCCTGCATGCCTTTAGTGAACAAGTGATTTATTACTCTTAGAAATGTGTCTGGAATTTTCTATTTGGTATTGGCACATTTAAAGAAGAAATTTAGTTTGATTATTTCAAGTTTTTCGTGTTTTTCCATTGGAAACTGGATGACAGAAAGTTTTAAATTACAGAGATATTAACTTGTATTGCCAACAGAGTTTAATTTAATCAACTTGGAGAGTAGGTGGTGAATGTATATGAGCCGTGTCACGACAAAACCAACATAGTGCCTGTGCGACCAGCATGGATCCAGATCAGACTGCGCGGCCGCGCAGTGTGATCAGGATCCATGCTGTTCGCTATCAGTTTCTATACTTGAAATAGAGTTGGTAAGCGACCAGCATGGATCCTGATCAGACTGTGCGGAAGCGCAGGCTGGTCTGGATTCATCCTGGTTGCAAACCCATTATGTTGGTTTTGTCGTGACACGGCTCATATATTTTATACCTAACATCTGTCTCATTCTATTAGTTTATATTCAGGGTTGAAGATCAGAACATGCCACTATTAATCTTTTGCATAGAATGCACAATGTGTATTTCATATGATTTTGAACCTACATTGACAGCTACATATAAGTTTATATATATAAATACTTCAAAAGAATAGAAGATGGACAAGTCAATTTAAGGACAAGTCCATTTAAGACATTAATTTTAGCATGGTAAGGGTTAATGATGAATATGTTAGATGTTACCAACTGTATAGTTTGCAGGCTAACTTGCATGTCTGTACAGTCCCTGGTAAAGCTGCATACGCCATTGATGCCAGTTTTATTGTTCAAGAAATCCTACAAAATTTCCATGTAAATTTTAGTTGATATCACTGGTAATTATATGTTCTGAGTTTCTTTTAATATTTTCTAAAATGTTTTTTGAGGAGACTGGTATCTTTTCCGCATGAACACTATGTTCTAGAATGTTTTTTGAGAAGACTGGTGTCTTTTCTAAAAACATTAAGAGCTGTTTTATTACATGTGATAATTATTATAATCCTTGCAGTATTTTAATGTCGGGGAAAGGAATGAAAAAGAAGATAAAACTGAATATAGATATCCTGATTATTAGTTTTACAGTCGCTTGATTACATCCAAGCAAATGGAATAAAATTCTAAATTGTCATTTTCTGTTTTACGGAAATGATTTCCTCTTTCACCAAAAAGCCCACTTGTCTCGCCAAATATTAATTGCTTTTTGATATCTGATATGATGATTTGCTGCCAATTCTCAGAAACAAAAAACTCTTGGCTATTAATTGAGATATTATTGCTTTAATCGTTAATAGCTTTGATGATCAATATATTTTGTTTTTATGTCCCAACCAGAGTATCTCTGAAATGCCAGATATATATTTATGTATCTCTACCACCCAATTCTAACTATTTTTCACTATTTATTTTTTATCCTCCAAACCTCCGAATTTCCTGGGTAATCATTTCCTCATAATCGGATTTTAAGCTTGTCTATTTTGAAGAAAAGGTTGAGCTATTATGATTGCTGTTTCATTTTTATGTACATGGGTATATTCTGAATGTATAATATTATGCCCCAGTCATCTGTCCATCAGCAATTTAAATTTGTGTCTGCCCTGTAAATCCTTTGAACTTAGTTGATCAGATGAAAGGAAATTGAAACTACTTGATAGAGACAATGTGCATATCATAGGTTTAGGCTTCCTGAAATATGGCTTTTTGTGAAATTATATCATTTGAAGAAATATGTCTGTACTATAGTGAAACATGAAATGATGATAAACTGTCATTCTGTTCTTTCAGTTTTCAAAGCTCAAGATTTATTAGCAGCTGATCTTGGTGGAAAAAGTGATCCTTTCTGTGTACTGGAACTTGTAAATACTCGACTTCAAACTCATACAGAATATAAAACTCTCAACCCAGAGTGGAATAAACTTTTCACATTGTAAGTATAGTGTAAGTCCTATACCGGCTGGAACCTTAAGTGGTTAGCCTTTGCCACCAGTACAAAGCCAGGCCAGCCTGCACAGCCGTGAAGTCTGACCAAGCTCTGTACTGTTGGAAGAAAAAGTTTTTTTGCTTTTCATTTTGAAATTCTGCAAGGTTTGAATGGACTGTTCCAAATTCAAAGCAGAGCAAATCCATTACACAAATTCAGCAGGTGAAGGGTTAGTAAGCAATATGATATTTAATGTTGTAGTTTTCAATCTCACATGACTGGTCAATAAACACTAGTTCTCATAGCTGTTTCTTCGACAGCTCTTATTTCATACAATAAAATTATTCATATTTTAGGAATTTTATATACATCTATTTCAGTAATGTAAAAGATATTCATTCTGTGTTAGAACTGACAGTCTATGATGAAGATAGGGACAAAAAGGTGGAGTTTCTGGGAAGGTGTGCAATACCATTACTCAGGGTAAGTATTAAAAAAAATAGAAAAAGAAGAAACAAAAGTGCTAAAGATCATTCTAAAGTGCAAAATTGAAAATGTATTGAGTCTGTTCATGGATGGTACTGGAAAGTGCAAGCTACCATCCACACCCTTTAATACCGGCTTCAGCAGAATTCAGTATTTAACATGAAATGGTAAATTTTTGAGCAGATGTGTTCAAGATTATAATGGGATTAAAACCTGATACATGTGTATTGTAACAGTGTGATTGCTATGTCTGTTACATATCATAGTAAGTAATATACACTTTGGGCAACCGTGGTTGATTGGTTAAGGTCTTTGACTTCATACTACTTGTCCCCCACCTCATTGGGTTGGAAACCTATCAGTAACTTTGAAGTCTTTCATGTATCTGGCTAGCTTACACAACATCATTGGTTTTACTCACTATCTGGTGCCATTTGTGCCTGAAATAACACACAGAGTGGGAACCTGAAGTCTTTGAAGTCTTCCTCCACAAGTAAAGCTGGAAAGTTGCCATATGACCTTTAATGTGTTGGTGCGACATTAAATCCAACCAAAAAAATGTATAAACTTAGTATCATGGTTATAATCATGCAATAAGTAAGTTAGCCACACTGACGGTGTAAATTTCAATCCATTGCTTTCTTATCCTAATCAATAATGTTTAAATTCAGGGAATATTTTGATTTAGTTAAAAGCAACATTTTCATTTCAGATAAAACCAGGAGAGAAAAGATGGTATGCTTTAAAAGACAAAAAACTCATTCATCGAACAAAAGGAGCCATTTTAATAGAGATAGACTTTGTTTATAATCATGTAAGTGACATTAAAAGTTGTTTTTTTTTATCTTGGTCACATCAAATAAAGATTATTGGTATAGAGATTATTGTTATGCATGAGTGGGCACGTAACTTGATTACTACAAATGCAACCGAAATTTGCGTAAGGAAATGGATTCTTTGGCTGAGTGGTGTCAGTGGTTATCTTTAACTTATAGCCTGCCTACTGGTGGCAAATGAATCTACACATGCCCAAAAGCTGGCACATCCTTGCCATCTGATCAGGGTCTGCACTGTTTCCTTTTAAGTCAGTACATATTTTTTTTAATTTTCCTTTTAAATGAAGTCAGTACATATTTTTAAAATTTTCCCTATAAATGTTGAATGGTTTATATATAACATGTCCAGATTGAAAAGATGCACAAGTCCATTTAAGATATTTAGCTTGATAAGGGTTAATATTCTTCCCCATAGGGGATACATATAGTCACCACTGACTGACTGACCTGTTGTTTTCCTTCTGTATGTTTGATCATAAGGGATAGACATTATGGGGTTAGACTTTTGTTTACAATTTGACAATATGATGTTTTTTAATGCAACCTGTAATGCTTTGGTTAAAATGGTGTTGTCGGGATGAAAAATGAAATTGTGTTGTTCAAAAGAAGTTAAGTGATCAAATAACCCATAACTGTCTTATCCTCTAAGTGATATTGATTTATGCAGTTCATATTGTATGAAAATTAAACTATATTAATTGATAATATATAATGATGTATATTTTATTTCAGTTTAAAGCTGCTGTGAGGACAGTTAATCCAAAAGAGGAGAAATATATGCAACCGGAGCCAAAATTTAAAATCTCAGTAAGTAACCAAGAGGCCTGATTGAAGAATAAAGAAACTTAAATTTACTGAATTTAGTTCATTAGGACCTATAAATGTTTGCTGGAGTGTGAACTGAAGATATATTAATGATTGGGTTTTTTTCATGATCCAAAATTGCCGTCCATCTGTACTTTCAAGTAGTTTGATTCTAACTTTGTTAACTATCAGTCAAAATATAAATTAAGCAAGTGGTCATAAATATATCAGTATGGTTAAGATACCTTTTGAAAGAAATTCATGATATTTCTACACATACAATGTATATTTATTCACAGTCATTTATGCACATATACCATTTTATTTATTGAAGGTCACTCATATGTTATACACATATTTATTTATACACATATATATTTCTTGATGGTTATGTATAGATATAAATATTTGTTAACATTCATTTATACAAATATATATTAAATAACAGCCATTATAATGCAAATATATTTATTAGCTTTCATACATATAATTATTGACACTCATTTAAACACATATATTTCCGTTGAAAGTCATCTATACACATATATAATCATAAATATTGATTGAGAGTCATTTATACACAAAGATAATTCACGGAAGGGCACCAGAGGTATTCTTCAATCAGTAAAGCTGGAACAACGCCATATAACGTATACTCTGTCAGTGTGAGGTTACAACGCAATTAAAAATACACAAAGATATTTTTAGATTGTCATTGCTACACATAAATATTTATTGACAGTTTATCTTATCCTTCTAGATGCCATGAAATTGCCATCTGTTGTTAAAAAAAAAATGTAATACTTTGCAATGTTTGCAGTTGAGATTAGTCTGTCTGCAACTGTTTAGCCAGGTTAATTCTGTTTGCTTCACAGAGAAAGTTGAAGCTTATAAATTGCACTTTGTCTGCAATCCTGACATGTTCGGTGAAGTTACTCCATTACAGGATGTTTTTCTTCCCTCTTTATATTACAACTGCATCAGACTGCAAGCATTTTGCAACCACTTGCGTGAGAATAACGAAATTGCTGATTTATGTCTTCTGCAAGTTATTTTATATTGTTTCCTTTCCCTCTTGTGAATGGTGGCTGCTAAAATTTCACTCTCGTTTGAGTTATTTTCAATTTTATTTCTGGAAGGTGAAATAAATGGCATCATCTCCATGTTTCGTTTTATTTAAATTGTTTTAACAAAGCCAGTTTATGAGCATGGTTGTCACTTTGGGAATTTATAGACAAAATGATTAGTTTAATTTGATAAGAAATGAAAAAAGAGAGAGCTGAATTAAACTGAGAAATATAGTAAAACAGTGTTAAAATATGACATTGTATTGTTTACATGTTATAAGTAATTCCCATCAAAGCAATTCATAGAAATAGTCGTAAGCCAACAAAATTTTAATTTTTGGTATATTTAGTTAAAACAATTTGTTTCTGTACAACATTGTATCTCCCAATGTCTAAACGGTATCTGTAATAGAGTGGTGTAAACGGATGCTAATATTTCATTAGGAAGACTAATACATGTAGTTGATCACTTACAGAAAAGTTCTTAATTACTGGTTAGTTCTCCAGGAAGGCCAGTTAAATTAGGTGGATCTGAACCACACAGATATCTATGACAATAATATAATTATATTAAAATCTATGTTTAAGAAAAACAAACAAACACAAAACCAGCATAAAACAACAACAAAAAAAGTCCCCCCCCCACACACACAGGGAACAAATCAATTGTTAAGATTTCTATCATGGTGAATTCTTTCAGATGGCTGGGCCATCTAGGCAACTTGCTTACAATTAGATGATAGGTAGTTCTACCTAATTTCTTACTTTTGTTTGAAAAAAAAACAACAAACAAACAAAAAACTTTCACACATAGAAGGGATGCTTTATTTGTTAGAAGGGGATGCTAGACAGATATATACTTTTTACAGAAGGGAATGGGGCCTTAAAATCATCACTTTCCTAGCATGTTGGATCATATATAGCAGACACTTACAATTCCTAGGCTGAATATGTATATTAAATAGCTTTTTCCTGCTTTCAAGATATCAATATTTATGATATCAATACCACCATGTTATTTGTAAATGTCAGGATGAGAGAGAGATATAAATGAAGGGTATTTCATTTCAGATAATGAAGAAGAATATAGACAGAGTTTCACAGATTATATCAACTTTTATTGATGGAGGCAAGTTTGTTCAAAGTTGTTTCAATTGGGACTCCCCTATTCGCAGTCTAACTGCTTTCCTTGTGAGTTGTTTTTCTTCTTTAGGTTAATTGTTATTGTATTTGACTGGTTTGATTCATCTTTTAAGATAATTTTTAGTAAATGAATACCAGTAACCAAAATGGCTGATTTTTATCAGGAGGACAATAGAATTATGAAATGAGTTAAATATACTTAACGTCTGCTTCATTTGGAGATAAATTGATTAGATTTTATATAAACCCATGTGTTTATTTTTGATATCATGAAGGGAAAATGTTTTAAAATAATGGTTGATACAAATTTGTGATGTTTTTTGTCTATTTAATCTTGCAAGGGAAGTAACTGGCACAAAAATGATTGTAAAATTTAAGTAAGGTTGATCTCCCTTGATCTCCAGACATGATTGGGATTTTTTTTATGTACAATGTATTTAAGATTAATTTACTAACGTGAAATCGAAAATAAATGCAATGTGCTATGAAAAGTTTCAAAGTGAATGTTCTATTTTTGATTTCAGGTGTTTCTTGTGTTAGTTTGGAACTTCGAGCCTTACATGCTTCCATTAACATTACTCATTTTGTTGCTCAAAAATGTACTTCTCTCATCCATTGTCTCACCATACAGTAAAGATCCCGAGGAAACTGTGAGTATTATTATCATTTCATAATTACCATTTCCATATTAGGTTTGTTTCATTAGAGAGTGATATTCTTTCAGGTATCTTTTTCAGATACATATGTCCAAAATATAAAGCCAAAACTAAAATATAGACTTTTATGACCCAGAAACATTGTGAAGTTTTTTATGCCCTGGAAATATAGTGTACATTTTTATTGTTCTAGAATTCCATTTGTTTATTATAGATTTTTACTACTCAGGAAACACATGATAGATTTTTATGGCTTAAATTGCATTGTGGGTTTTAAATCAATGAAAGACATTTTTGTTACTTTTATGCCCCAGAAATATATTGAACATTTTCTATGCCCAGGAAATTCCTTATTTCTATGCCTTGGAAGTTCACTTTAGATTTGTTTACCCCTGAAACAGTTCCATGATAGAATAATTTCAAAGCAACATTCCTCCTGATTCATTGCTTATTTTCATGAACATTTTTAAAATGTATTGAAGTCAAATATTGTGAAGTGAACAAAAGAATAATTTACACACTGCAAACAGCACTTACAATTCACATAAAATATTAATCAAAAAGATGTCAAAATTTGTAAAAATAGTACTTACTGCATTAGTCACGCAGAAGAAATATGGTGGTAATAACTGCAACTGTCAGTTATTTATCAAACATAACATATTAATTATTACTTAAACAACTTGAATCTTCTTACTTTTTTTGAAATCATACATTTTTCTCAAGTTTGATTTTCTTGAAATATTTTAACTCATCTGGAGGCATGCAGCTTTAACATTGCTGTGTTTAACAAAATTAAGTATATTTACTTGTTGTTGTTTCCAGGAGTATGAAGATGATGATGATGATTTTGATGAAGAGGAAGACAGAGAGAAGGTATTATTGTCTTTATAGTGATTGTTACCATAGTTACCACTGTAATTCATTTTTCTGGCATATTGTGTCATAAGGAAAAAAAATCTTACTTTACTGATAATAACTACTACATCTTTTGTGTATACATGACTACCAACAGTGTACAAATCAGTTTCAAAAACTATAGCATCTAGGTCAATATGCCATGCTTGTCTATGTGGACAAGGTGGTATTGTTGTCCATGGGGAAAGGGTAACAGTGTTGATTACTTTACTAGCACAAATCTAATCCCTTTTACTTGCTGTCCGTTTGTTTTACAGAATAATTCAATTCACACCATGTTTTTGAAATAATTTGACCTTGACCTATACTTAGAAGCATGCATATGCTTTTAAAGGCCAATTAAGCCAAAAAATATTATTCTATTCATTTTAAGCTTTGTAGCCAGATGCAGTTTCCAATGATAACTTAATGGCAATATTGTTTACATGTTACTACCTTTATACATATAGTAAACTTTCACATTCTACACTACTTTATTAGGTGATAAGAATCTAACATGCTCTTACAAGCATATAACATGTCTAAGTCCATTATGACAACATCATAATACTCATGTTTACCCCTGTCAAAGAATACATTGTCAAGTGTTCATTTCTAAAGATAAATGTGCCTTTAACTCTTTTCTTCTGTACATTCATTTTAAGAATAATTCTATATATTTCTTAATCTTTCTTTCTTGGTCTATATTTCTGCAAATTTTGTATGATGTTTTTATAGCCCCTTTGATTATTAATAGAAACTTATTATCAGAGATAGTCATTCTTTCACCATTTTTGTTAAAAGTTTGGGTAACAAATTCTCTACCTAATTCTCTAGAGTTGATTCTGACTTTATGTTATAAGATTTATCATCAGTCTGCATGCCATGAAGTTAAAGAAGTAAAGAGAAAATTTATGATTATATAACATGTCTGTTTTGTAGGAGGAAAAGAAAAGTTTCAAGGAGAAATTACAAGCAGCCCAGGAAATTTGTCTCCAAGTTCAGGAAGGTCTAGATATTGTGGCGTCTCTTGGAGAAAGGGTGAAAAAGTAAATTTCTGATATGATACTTTTTAGTTGATATGTGTATTTCAAAAGATAGGGAGGGTTCTTTTTTTTTGTAAATGTTCACATGTCCAAGGAATTGTCATAATTTTGTATATTATTTTGAAAGAATGAGTATATTTATAACTAAGTATAAATTGCCATAATTTATGACCTATGTCTTCATACAAAGTGTGGTCACAGCAGCAATGTGAAAGTGGTTTTATATACATGTATTTGAAGTAATAATACAAAGGCATCTGTGTTGACTCTCTAGATTCAACATGTACAAAACTAAAACAACAATAAGAAGTGACATTAATGTCAAATAGCCTGGTAAGAGGTAACATAGATTATAGGGTAAGAAGTTATCTTGCAGACATAAAGAGGCACCTATGGTCTTCCTCATATACTGTGTTGGTGTGACTTAAAACCGAACACAACAAGCAATATTGAGACATTGCTCACAATGCAACATAAATATTTTTTTTTTAAAGTTGTGAAAATTCCTTCCCACTAATTATCTTTAGGATTTAAAACAAGGTAAAACAAGTTTCGATCAAATTTCATGAATGGATTTCTTCTCTAATCCAAATGTTTTTTTAATTTCTTAAACAAATAAGCATTTGGGTCTATATTGCCTCACCTTTTTAGCTCGACTATTCGATAAGAATAAGTAGAGCTATTGCAGTCACCCGAGCATCCGCGTCGGCGTCCGCGTAACCACTTATGTTAAAGTTTTTGTAATAGTTCAAATATTTTCAAAGTCCATTGACATATGGCTTTGAAACTTTGCACACTTGTTCACCATCATGACCCCAACCTGTAGACAGGAGGAGGTAACTCTATCAAGCATTTTGACAGAATTATGCCCCTTTTTCAACTTAGAATTTACGTTAAAGTTTTTGTAATAGTTCAAATATTTTCAAAGTCCATTGACATATGGCTTTGAAACTTTGCACACTTGTTCACCATCATGACCCCAACCTGTAGACAGGAGAAGGTAACTCTATCAAGCATTTTGACAGAATTATGCCCCTTTTTCGACATTTAGAATTTACGATAAAGTTTTTGTAATAGTTCAAATATTTTCAAAGTCCATTGACATATGGCTTTTGAAACTTTGCACACTTGGTTCAACATCATGACCCCAACCTGTAAACAGGAGGAGGTAACTCATTCAAGCATTTTGACAGAATTATGCCCCTTTTTCGACTTAGAATTTACGTTAAAGTTTTTGTAATAGTTCAAATATTTTCAAAGTCCATTGACATATGGCTTTGAAACTTTGCACAACTTGTTCACCATCATGACCCCAACCTGTAGACAGGAGGAGGTAACTCTATCAAGCATTTTGACAGAATTATGCCCCTTTTTCGACTTAGAATTTACGTTAAAGTTTTTGTAATAGTTCAAATATTTTCAAAGTCCATTGACATATGGCTTTGAAACTTTGCACACTTGTTCAACATCATGACCCCAACCTGTAAACAGGAGGAGGTAACTCATTCAAGCATTTTGACAGAATTATGCCCCTTTTTCGACTTAGAATTTACGTTAAAGTTTTTGTAATAGTTCAAATATTTTCAAAGTCCATTGACATATGGCTTTGAAACTTTGCACACTTGTTCACCATCATGACCCCAACCTGTAAACAGGAGGAGGTAACTGTATCAAGCATTTTTTAACTATCAAGCACTAAGAATAGTCGAGCGTTGCTGTCCTACTGACAGCTCTTGTTGATACTATTGTTTGTTATTCAAAATGATTTCAGAACAAACAAACCTTAAATTTTAAATGTTTTAAATGTCAAAATTACCTCCCTTTCTTTGTTAGATATGATATGTTTTGTCCATATGTTTTTTAGCACATTTACTTGGTCGGTACCCTGGCTGACAACTTTAGCTGTGATAGTGTTAGGTCTTGGTGTGATTATTTTATACCACATTCCAGTAAGATGGCTCATTCTGGCGTGGGGTAAGTACTCAATTTCTGTACTTTAGTCAGTTATGTCTTCTGACTCTACTTTTAATTATTACTGGAATACATAAATTAAAGTCTTTAATTTTTTGGTGGTAGTGTAAGTAGTTTTCACTCCAAATCATGGCACTAATCCACATTGAATTTCAGCCACTGTATGGTTCCTGGGCAGGTTGTCAAGCATTTTACCAGTACTAGTTCCTTTCACTTTCTCAAGGAACTGATAACTTCTGCACTTTCTAAAGCACAAGTACAGCAGAATGACAGTAGAAAGAATTTCATAATCAATCACAACAAAAAGTGACCTGCTTCGTCCAGGAATCGAACCCAGATGGCCCGTGTCACAATCCAGTGCTCTACCTATTGTGCAAACTGGACAGCTTCTTAAACTTGTTTTCTGAATACATTCTTCATATAGATCTCTTATATTATTTCATAAGATGTAAGAATGTAATGTATATAGCAAGAATTGCACCTAAAAAGGTAAAGGTCAAAAGTAAGGAACTTAGACTTTTAGCTATTTTAACAGAAATTCCTATCATTCCTTTTAAAAGAAATAGAAATAAATGAACCATATTTTATAACTAGTTCTATTTAAATTTGTTCTTTAATGTTTAGATTTTAAGTAGAATAATTGTTTGTGCATTTACCATCATCAATTTCCCATCCATACTAATTATTTAATTTTTTTTCGATCAAAATGTAATTTTTGTAATTGCTTATCTCTAAACTTTACTACAAAGGGCTAAGCTTCACACTCCTTTTTCCACTAATGTCCAAGGAAATCAACCTGTATAATAAGAAAACTTGCTTAGAGATATTATCAATTTTTTTGAAAGATGATATTGAAAAGTTTTTTAAAACATTGCCTTACCATTCAAACTAAATATTTCACAAAGTTTTCATTTAACAATGATTATTATTGCTTTTTGTTTTCAGGCATCAATAAATTTACAAAGAAATTACGAGCACCAAATGCAATTCCAAACAATGAAGTCCTTGATTTCCTATCTCGGGTTCCATCAGATAAAGAATTGGTATGTAATTACAGTTTCATTATTATTTAATTGATTTCCAATAATTCTGCTTGCCTTTGGTCTTTTATCGTTACTACTAAATGCAGTTTTCAAATACAGCAGGTTTTTGAAATTGATTTTTGTACTCTGTTTTAATATTGACAATTTCAGTTAGCTTAGATTAAATCTGTTTATTTTAAATTGAATTTGCCTTTGGTTTACCAGTACAGTGTTATGTCAGGACGCATGGTTGTATGGCCAGTATTGCTTGAACCTGTAATCACTGATTTAAATGGCAAAAATCACCTTAACTCTTGCCTTATGGCCACTTCGCTTCTTGGAAGTTGTCAAAGCTGTTAATTATATTTGAAGACATTTATTTTGGAATCATTTAAGGCACTCTTTAATTTACTCATTAAACTTTTAGAACAAGATATATATCTCACCATTGATTGATGCAGGGAAATGGGTCTCAGACTCTCTGACCAAGTGGTTTATATTATTTAATATTACTGACTGAAAGTCTCAACTACCTCTTCACTGTGGGTGCAAATCTCGGGAGGGATTATTTCGTTTATCAAAGTTGGTGTCAGCTTTTTGGAAGTTGTTGATTCATATTTCTTATGCCAGAAATTATGCATACAAGAGCACCAGATCTGGTGACCTTAAAACTAAAACCCAGGCAAAAAAACCCAAAAAAAAACTTGATGCATGTAACCTTGGTATTGATCCTATTGTAGTTTAATTTGCATTTATTTATGAAGGACAGATTATTATTCATTAAAATTTTTAAAAAAAGTCTTGTAGCATGCATAATGCACCATTGACATTTATGTAGCACTTACTCAAAACTAAACGTACATGTATATACATAAATAAAAAAAACAATATATTTACAGTACAATGTACACTCACATTTTGAGCCAATCTAGGTTGCTATGATTCTGCAGAAATTATACATTTTAATTCCAGTAAATAATTACACCATCCATAACAATTTTTGGAAATCATGCCGGAATATTTAGTAAGTCAATACTAAATTGATTTTGGTTGTTTTTTTTTACATTTCAGGTGCAATATAGAGAATTGAGACCAGACATAAACACAGTGCCATCCCGAAAGAAAACCAGATAGTTGACATCATATATTAAACCTTCTTCTCCGCTGAAATCCATTCCATTTTTATCTCAACATATTTTAACTTATTATGTAAATAAATATATATATATGTATATTAGAATATCATTTCATTACAGTTTAGAAATGTGCCAGAGTAATGGAAGCCTAAGAATGAAAATGGAGACAAGTTTTAACTCATGAGATGTTATCATGCTAACGATTGGTTAAGATTTTATTTTGGATTCAAAATTGACCAATAGAAATGTATATTACATTTAAGGCTGGTATGAAAGTAAGAGTAAAAAGGACAATTCCTGAAATAACAAATATAAGGGATTATTTCTATAGTTAGCTGGGAGTTTATATGTTGTAGAGATTGTTTTGTTTACATTTCAGAATGAGATTCATCTTCAGTGTTGTTGCCTTTACAAAAGTTTCAAAATATATAAAAATTATGCAGGTCAAACATAATGTTCTTTTATTTATTATTTATATATCAAAGTAATCTGATTACTCTATAAATTATAATGTTCATTTTGCATGTTTGTTGGATTTTTTATATAGTTGTTTTTGATATTATATGTGTTGCAAAATTTGGAAACATGATCTTTTATGCAAAAAGTTTAGCATACTTTTCAAAATTATATATTTCATTGATTGAATTGAGAGAATTAAAGTAAGTAATTGATAACCAAACACTAGCCAATACATTTACAGAATTTTTTCTCTTTTTAGCTCACCTGTCACAAAGTGACAGGGTGAGCTTTTGTGATCGCTTTTCGTCCGGCGTCCGTCCGTCCGTCGTCCGTCCGTAAACTTTTGCTTTAAATGACATCTCCTCATAAACCACTGAGCCAATTTCATCCAAACTTCACAGGAATGTTCCTTTGGTGGTCACCTTTAAAAATTGTTCAAAGAATTTAATTCCATGCAGAACTCTGGTTGCCATGGCAACCGAAAGAAAAATCTTTAAATATCTTCTTTTAAACAACCCTAAGAGCTAGAGCTTAGATATTTGGCATGAAACATCTTCTAATGAGTGTCTACCAAGTTTGTTCAAATAAAAGCCCTGGGGTCAAAATTGGCCCCGCCCCGGGGGGTCATTGATTTTCCCTATATGCATATAGTAAAAACTTAAAAAATCTTCTTTTAAAGAACCGTAAGAGCTAGAGCTTAGATATTTTGGCATAAAACATCTTCTAGTAAATGTCTACAGTTTGTTCAAAGAAAAGCCCTGGGGTCAAAATTGGCCCCGCCCCAGGGGGTCATTGATTTTCCCTATATGCATATAGTAAAAACTTAAAAATCTTTCTTTTAAAGAACTGTAAGAGCTAGAGCTTAGATATTTGGCATGAAACATCTTCTAGTGAATGTCTACCAAGTTTGTTCAAATAAAAGCCCTGGGGTCCAAATTGGCCCCGCCCCAGGGGGTCATTGATTTTCCCTATATGCATAAAGTAAAAACTTAAAAATCTTCTTTTAAAAGAACCCAAAGAGCTAGAGCTAAGATATTTGGCATGAAACATCTTCTAGTGAATGTCTACCAAGTTTGTTCAAATAAAAGCCCTGGGGTCAAAATTGGCCCCGCCCAGGGGGTCATTGAAATTTTTCCTTATATGCATATAGGGAAAAACTTATAAAATCTTCTTTTAAAGAACCCAAAGAGCTAGAGCTAAGATATTTAGCATGAGACATGTTCTAATGGGTGTCTACCAAGTATGTTCAAATAAAAGCCCTGGGGTCAAAACTGGCCCCGCCCCGGGGGTCATTGATTTTCCTTATATACATAGCAAAACTTAAAAAATCTTCTTTGAAAAAACCCAAATAACTAGAGTTTAGATATTAAGCATGAAACATCTTTAAGTAAATATCTACAAAGTTTGTTCAAATAAAAGCCCAGGGGGTCAAAACTGGCCCTGCCCGAGGGTGTCATTGTTTTTAACTATATGTGTATAGTAAAAACTTAAAAAATCTTCTTTTTAAAAAACCCAATGAGCTAGAACTTAGATGTTTTGCATGAAACATCTTCTTATGGGTGTCTACCAAGTCTGTTCAAATAAACAAATAAAAAGCCCTTGGGTAAAAATTGGGCCGCGGGGTGGGGGGGGCTATATACAGGTGAGCGACCTCAGGGCCATCATGGCCCTCTTGTTATTTTTACTTCTCTGTGAGGTTCAATATTCAGTTGTGTTCTTGGAAAGCAGCTTATTGTCCATTCTTTTTGCTACAGACGATCGTATTTCACGTAAAATTTATTATATCATTATGTTATTTCATAGGTAATGAAGGGTAAATTGCTTAATTAACTTTAAAACATAATAGTTTATGTTCAATTTGTTTGTTTCTTTATTCCATATCAAGAGATCATGAGAAATTATTTAACTGTGAGCTATGTGTTCAGAAGTCCCATGTTTTTGTTTCTGTTTTTGTTCCATGAAATTCCTGTATTTTCTAGAATTTTGACTAGAAATTTTCGGATGTCGTAGAATTGGGACTAGATTTGGGACAGACTGAGATATGAGTTTTTTCGTTTTTCTTAGAAAGGAGCAGTAAACTTCTAAGTTGAGAAACCAGTCTTATTACTATGCATTTGATTGGCTAGTTTCATATTTGAAGTTAACCAATGACAGGCGTCTATTTTTAAGATCTTTTTGTAGCTTTGAAACTAATAATTTTGTTTTAATTGTTTGCTCAATCTTTAAATAATATGTCATAATTTATAATACATCAACAAATACAGAATTATGACAAAATGAAAATGACATAGCAGGTCTAAAGTGAAGTTTTGGCCTTTCCTACATTTTTCGATTTCTAAAAGGGAAAGACTTTATGCTTTCACTTTTTGTCCTTCTTCTTTTTCTAGACTGTATTAAGTAATGAATTAGAAGTTTATCATTTCTTGAGTTTTTCAAGTTTAATATGATTCTGTCTCATGAAATAGTTACGCTACCAACAACATCTTTTTGTCTCTTTTCTGATTCAAAAATTAGCAATCTTTATGTTTTTCTAGTCTTTTTTACAAAATTCGGGTAATTTTTTTTCAGGTATTTTGAATATTTTATCATTATATATTACAGTCAGAAATATACATTATCTTTTCATTTTCTGTTAGCTAGTTGCTTAAGAAAACATGCATGTATTGCTAAGTTATAACCGGAAGTTAAAGCATGATATTAGGTTTATAATATAAAATTTTGGGATTAATATTGTCATGAAAAATATGCACAAACTGTTCAGCTTAAAGTTTGCTTAGACCAACATTAAATTCAAATTGCTACTGTACACTTTAGAATTTTCTCATGCCAACATAAAATTTGAATTGCTATTGTACAGAAAGAATTGCTCATGTCAACATAAACTTTAAATTGTTATTGTACAGCATTGAAATTGCTCATGCCAATATAAAATTTAGATCGTAATTGTACAGCTTAGAATTTGCTTATTTTAAAGCATAAAAAATGCTTAGGCAAGCATTATTTTACAAGCGTTGAAAGGAAACTTTCAAATACAAGAATAGTATGTTATTACAAATGTATTACAAATGTACATGAGAGTTGATATTGAAAATGTTATAGAAATCTTTTTTACATATCCCTGCATTAACTATTGATTTATAGTAAATTATATAATTATGTTTTATTCTTTTATCTTATTTTGAAATGATTTATATCTAAATATGTTTATAGTATGTCATCAGATAAAACCTTTATCAAAGCATATTGATTAATATAATTTATTAGTGATACATTTGCAAATTATACAGTTTTTAGCTCGACTATTCGATAAGAATAAGTAGAGCTATTGTAGTCACCTGAGCGTTGGCGTCCGCGTCGGCGTCGGCGTAACCACTTATGTTAAAGTTTTTGTAATAGTTTAAATATTTTCGAAGTCCATTGACATATGGCTTTGAAACTTTGCACACTTGTTCACCATCATTACCCCAACCTGTAAACAGGAGGAGGTAACTGTATCAAGCATTTTGACAGAATTATGCCCCTTTTTCAACTTAGAATTTACGTTAAAGTTTTTGTAATAGTTCAAATATTTTCAAAATCCATTGACATTTGGCTTTGAAACTTTGCACTTGTTCACCATCATTACCCCAACCTGTAAACAGGAGGAGGTAACTGTATCAAGCATTTTGACAGAATTATGCCCCTTTGTCGACTTAGAATTTACGTTAAAATTTTTGTAATAGTTCAAATATTTTCAAAGTCCATTGACATATGGCTTTGAAACTTTGCACACTTGTTCACCATCATTACCCCAACCTGTAAACAGGAGGAGGTAACTGTATCAAGCATTTTGACAGAATTATGCCCCTTTTTCGACTTAGAATTTACGTTAAAGTTTTTGTAATAGTTCAAATATTTTCAAAGTCCATTGACCTATGGCTTTGAAACTTTGCACACTTGTTCACCATCATTACCCCAACCCGTAAACAGGAGGAGGTAACTGTATCAATCATTTTGACAGAATTATGCCCCTTTTTTTGACTTAGAATTTATGTTAAAGTTTTTGTAATACCTCAAATATTTTCAAAGTCCATTGACATATGGCTTTGAAACTTTGCACACTTGTTCACCATCATTACCCCAACCTGCAAACAGGAGGAGATAACTGTATCAAGCATTTTTTTTTACAATCAAGCACTAAGAATAGTCGAGCGTTGCTGTCCTACCGACAGCTCTTGTTATTTTTATTGCATAAAATGCAAAGTTTTTATAATAATATATTATATTACCAAATATGATAAGTGTATAAGAGAAAGTTATATTACATAGAAAAGTTTTGACTTATAGATACATGTATTTTTTAAAAACAAAAAAACTAATTTTATGAATGCAAACAAGGAGTTTTAGTTTGATCTCTAAGTAGAGAGTTTGAAGACCATGGTTTGATCCAGTCGGCTAGTTAGCTTTTATGTTAAAACTGCTTATTCCATTACACTCGTTGGAGGCAACAGACACTTTAAAATCTGATTATGTTAGAGGTAATAGTCATTGATATGCTTACAGCAGTAATATCTACATATTTACCCAATCTGAATTACTATTTTTGCTGGTGGTTATTTTGTAATGTGTTATTTAGTAAATCTCTAAATGAATTATAAATACATAATTTTGAACATAAAACATTAAACCATATGTATTGTTATATATATTTTTGAATTCTTGCTATTTTTTTTAATGAATCTCATTTACATTGTTCTTGCCAGATTTGTGTTCTTGCTTATAGCATCATAACACTTGTTTCTTTGTGAAAAGCAATTGAGCTAAATTCTAACATTATCTAATACAAGTTTTATTTTCAATTTCTTTCTTTTTTAATTTTAATAGGAATTGAGCATTAAGCACTGGTAAGGGTGATAACTCCAACACATAGGGAGCCCAAACACTTTGTTAATTCTATAGCAAACTTTCCACAAACAAGCACACTGTCTAGTAGTTATTTAGATGCAAGACAGACTGTGATGATCTTTTTATACCCCGCACAACAAAGTTGTAAGGGGGGTATACTGGAATCAGCTTGTCTGTCCGTCCGGCTGTCTGTCCGTCCGGCCGTCCATCCGGCCGTCCGTCCGTCGGTTTTTTCTTGTCCGCCCAATAACTTAAGATTCCTTTGACCCTTAGTCTTCATATTTGGCATGGAGGTTAGTCATGATTAGTAGATGACCCCTATTGATTTTGAGGTCACTAGGTGAAAGGTCAAGGTCACAGGGGCCTTGACTTCAAAAAGGTTGTCCGCCCAATAACTTAAGATTCCTTTGACCTACAGTCTTCATATTTGGCATGGAGGTTAGTCATGATTAGTAGATGACCCCTATTGATTTTGAGGTCACCAGGTCAAAGGTCAAGGTCACAGGGGCCTTGACTTCAAAAAGCTTGTCCGCCCAATAACTTAAGATTCCTTTGACCAACAGTCGTTATATTTGGCATGGAGGTTAGTCATGATTAGTAGATGACCCCTATTGATTTTGAGGTCACCAGGTCAAAGGTCAAGGTCACAGGGGCCCTGACTTCAAAAAGCTTGTCTGCCCAATAACTTAAGATTCCTTTGACCCACAGTCTTCATATTTGACATGGAGATTAATCATGATTAGTAGATGACCCCTATTGATTTTGAGGTCACCAGGTCAAAGGTCACAGGGGCCTTGACTTCAAAAAGGTTGTCTGCCCAATAACTTAAGATTC